TGTTTAATCTAGAGATAGTTCCATACTCTAGATATTCTCTGTCACTGAAAGTCTTGAAAAAGGTTAATATTTATAAATATTTTACTTTTGCTTTATAATTTTCCTTTCTAAACTGTAAATATTGACATCAACGGAGAAAGTTGTGTCGATAGAACAACGGTGCACTTTTCCCACAAAGCTGCAATAATTTTGTGAGGTTCTCTTTAGTCCTCATAAAACTATGACTAGTAATTAATAATAAAAATAGCAACACTTCTAAGATTCTTTTGGTTTTACTGTTTTGGGTAGAAAATTTGGGAAAAATAATGTGCACTAGGGAAATTCCAAGTCAAAGGTGGGTGTACTACACTAATTGTTTATCGATCTAGGCGCAATAAACTTTTCCTTCCCACATCACAATATTTTCTTTCTTTTAATTGCCATGATCACTGGGATTTTGCAGACATTTGATTTAATAGTTTCTCTAACCTAATGAAAATCCAAGATATATGGTGTCCAGATGCATACACAGACTATGGCCCATTTCAAAAAAAAAAAAAAAAAAAAAAAAAAAACAACTCACAATCACCCTACTTCTTTTTACAGAGACTTTCTCCAAAGCATGAAAGCACACATTTCCATCTGGAGCACGTGAATTGATTAGGTTGAAAATTTTATTCATGGATCTAAATATAATAATTAGAAAATGGCAGTACTATCAGAAAAATACCCATTATGGCTCTTTTTTATCACACAATTTACTTATAAGGGCTGAATCATCAACGACAAAAATGTTGTGGTCTTATTTTAATGAAATAAAAAGCAGAGAAATAAAAAAAAATGCATGCTCTTTTAAGTCTGACTATACTGAATCTTAAACATTGTCATCGTGTTTTAAAGTAGATCTTGTAAATCCTATAGAGCATGCAATTATTGCTTTTAAAAGTCTAAAGCCTGAAAAATCTCATTAGCAGAGTTAAGTATGCTCTGGGGCTGCCCATCTCGCCTGGCCATGCTGTGATGTGGCACACGCTTCGGCAGAGCAGCTGGGCGAGTCTGGCACTTCCTTGCCACGGCAGGGGAAGGAACACGGCTGAGAAGCATGCAGGCAGTCAAAATTCGTTTGGAAAGTGATTGTACGTGTACAACTTGCTTGGGTAACCTGGGTAAAAGTGGTGGCACGAGCCTCTGGCAGGTTAAAAAACACCAGAGCTGCTTTCTTGATGGCTCCAGCTTGATTTTACCCCTGTGAGAAGTAAGAATGGTAAGTAGTGAAGGTCACAGTATGATAGTACTGGGTTAATTTTGGAATTCAACTTCAATTATGGTTCTTAAAAGCATTTATTCTATACCCTTCACATAAGAAGTCAAACAATCCTTTAAGAACTAAATTGTAGAAATCTATAGTTATATAAAACTTCTGAGAAATCATGACAATGTGAATTTTAAAAATGTAAAATCACACAAAATTATACATTAGAGTTTGTTACAAGATTTGAGTAATTTCAAGTTTTTCCCACATTAAAAATACTTTTGAAATTCATGCTTTCAAATGTCTTCTATTTTTCATGCAAAATTCTCTATTTTTTATCAGACCAGTTTGGTCACTTTTTAGTGTTCATATATGCGGGTCTAATAAACACAATATATACTAACACATATAACATATAAAATAATAACAGTTCATGCTTTTATTTCTAAACTTCTATGGTCCATTTATTTCTCACTGAACTTTTCAGACATATTTTGGCATGAAAATGAGTAGAAACAGTAGAGTAGATAGAGTAGTTTGTTAGCTTGTTTTTAAATGAGGAATGTGTAACTCTCTTGGATGTAGCCTAACAGCTTAATTTGTCACCAAAGAAAAGCAACACTCTGTGCTCTCCAAAGCAAAGCTCAATGTGTTTTTGTTACTTTGGTCAAAACACAAAGAATTATAGACCAAAACATTGATTTCCATTGGGTGTATGTGATTATTTTTAAAAAAGAATACTCCATTTGATGTCAGTGCATAAGTAAAATGTAACCAGAGTTTTAGAATGTCAGCAGTTTGGGAAATTTCAGATCGAAACTGAATTTACTTGGAATTTATACAGACCTGTTTCATAATGTTAAAACTGATTGTTATTGCTTTTATTTTTTTAAAACAATCTATTCTCTATTTTTTATCCTGTATGTGAGCATACATATTAACTGACTTATTCTGATTTTTGAAATCTCATACTATTTGAGGCACATTACCATCACAAAATCTATTGCTGATTTCAAAGCACTATGCAAGATCATTTGAAATTTTATTGTGACTTTAAAATATATAATTTATATTGTTTTTTCACTAATATTTCTGTATAAACAATTGCATTATATTTTCCACTTGGATTTCATTCATTTGACTTTAGCTTGAAAGAGGATAGAATAGTTATAAAAATGTGCAAAAGAAATGTTTGCTCAGACAAAAGAATGTTTTCTAGGACTTGATAATAGGAAAAAATTTTATTTCATATTCCAATTTTATGATATTTGAGTCATTGAAAAAGAAATATTTGTGGACCTTATGAAAATTTTGAAGTGATTTTCAAACCAACTACTTGGTAGAAGGACATTAAAACACTTTCTGTCAATCTCATGTCATAAAACTTGTGGTATTAATGTAGAAAACGTTACTTTACCTTTTTTATGAAAAAGCCTCTTCTTGACCCTATTTACATTATTTTTCCCTAGTTTTCTTTCAGTTTTTGCTTTATTATTAATTCTCTGATGACCTCTTCTATTTTCAGAGACCCAAGTAATCATGGAAAGTGTATATCAAATCTATTTTAAACCTGACCTCTCACCCAGACCCTTGTTCCAGCACTGTCACTCTAATTTCAGTACCATCAGCTCTGGGTATCCATCAGAAATTTGTTTCAGGACCCCTGCAAACACCAAAATCAGCAGATGTTCAAGTCACTTGAGTAAAAGATCATTTTGGACAATGGCACTGCCATTTTTTCAATTTCCTAGATTCTTCAGATAGATCAAATTGCATTAGCTTTAGTTATTTATTATCATAGCCCAAAATTTTATCTACTCATTGCTGTCAAGTGATATTCCAAGATCATCTCTCTGACCTCACACTCTAAAATGTTTTGCTCTTTGATACCAAGTAAATTTTTCTAAGATATAATTTTCTTATAGTTTTACTGTTTCAGAAGGAACAGTATAATTCTTACACACTGTGTAGCCAATTCCAAATTCTGACTTAATTTCAAAACTTCACAATCTAAAATTACTAGACACACTCGAAAGTATTTTCCACCATCTTCTCAACCAATTATTTATGCTGCTGGTTTTACATCTCCACCTTACTATTAAGGACGCACTATCACCTCTGGCTCACTTTTGCTGGTGTTTGCTCTTTTTGGTTTCTGGTGACCCATAGATGATTCAAAATTTGTTGCTTCTTTGAATTTCATGTCTTCCATTAAGCAACTACCTGTGCTGTTCTTCAGACCTGTAACTTTACATGCAGTCCTATGGGACTGAGCTTTTAAATAGGTCTTTAATGGTTTTGTGAATTAGTGCCAGTGCACTCAAAGATGTTGAGATTCTCCTAAGGAAGAATTGTACTACAGGGTTATTGTTTAACTCTTCCTTACTCCTAGAATTCAGAAGAATGGCAATTTGACAAAACGTGGTAGGTAAGTGCTTGTTATTAATTGATATTTCTTCTTAAATAAATCTCTCAGGTGATGGAAAATAAAATTATAGATTTGAATTCTTAGTTTACTAAAATGTGTGGCATTAATTAAAAATGGACTCTAACCAGTGGTTGAGTGAAATTCTTAAGAAAAATATTAGCTACCTCATTTTGTATTCTCCTTTTTTCAAGATGTTTTAAAATTTTCTATTATATCCCAGCAGCACTGAGAACATGTTTGGGAAAAAATCAAATCATAGCTATGATTGCAACATTTTCAGCTACTTATTATGAAGATATCAGATCAAATTGTCCTGTTATACTTATTTTAAAGAAGAAAGTTTCAAAATATGCTCACAAACCAGGCCTTATTAGTTGGATTTCCATGGTGTCAACATTATATCTTCAAGCTATAATATGTCTTTCGTAACTCCATCTGTGCTAGATTTACTTCCAATTGGTATTCTAGAAGTCCATAAATAAATAATAGTATAATATTTTATTCTTGTTCCCTTCACAGAACTGAAGAATTTGTACCATGAAGCTACTATTATAAGATTCTATGAATTCTGGTTATAAAGTATAATCAATTTCCATTATGTCTTTCTAACAGTTAGTAATATGACAGTAAAAACACTTTTTTCATGTACAGTTTAATTGTAGTCATCAAATCAAACTTTCCTAAATAGCTCTTGGTATTTTTAAATTAATCTGCAAAATATAGATTTATTCATCCTTAATTGAGCAAAGTAAATTCAGGACTACTTGCACTTTCTTAATAAATATAATACTTTTATAAATAAAACACTTTGTCAAAGTGGATAATACTCTCAAAAACCTTGCAAAACTTTCACATTAAAAAAAATCAAAGCAAAATCTAATATGGAATGTAGAGATGATACCAGCACAATTAGCAATAAAATATAATTCATTAAAAAGAGCATAGTGTAGAGCAGAGTTTAATGTACTAAATATTATCTTTTTTTGACAGCAAAATTTTTAACTTGACTTTCAAACTATCAAAAAAATGAACACATTACTTGTTCAGAATAGTATTTCCTGACAAAACTTGAGCTTTATATAAACAGATTTCCCAAATTCTCAGAATTTTACAGCATTATCTTATGACTTTCAATATTATTCTTTTTAAGTTTTGGCATGTATGATCCTGGGAATTGAACCCAGGACCTCCCACATGCTGAACATGGGCTCTACCACTGAGTTACATCATCAATCACAATATTATCATTTAATAATGCACTTAAACACAAAAACAATACTCAAAAACCATAGTACATGGGTTATAATACAAAATGAAACCAGAATTTAAAAACATTATTACCTCTTTGCTTTCTTCTAGTTCTGACTCACTGCTGAACTCTTCAGTATTTAAGTTTTCAAAGTCAGACTCTCCAACGGCAATTGGCACTGTTACAGTTAGGCTGGGGTTGTTGATGAATGACATATAATCATTTTCATCAATTACATACTTTTCAACACTGCTTCCAGTACCCACACCACTGGTGGTTCCATTCCCATCTTTCAGGTAATTAAGCTCTTTGCTTATCTCAATTGCAGTGTTATTGGACATGCAGCTGTCTATTTTATTGCCTTCATGAATTTCTATAACTTTGGGCTTTCTAAAAAAGGCTTTTTGGAAACACTCCCGTATCTTATTCTTCACAAAATCGATTCCTTTTTGCATTCTTCCTATAGCAATCTGGAGATTGTTCATTTCATTGTCATCATCAGTAGCAGCAAGGTTGTCTGAGCTAAATGAACTCAACAATAAGGCCAGAAAGAGATTTAGAACCTAAAAAGGAAACAAAAGAAAAGGTTTTATATATATATATATATATATATATATATATATATATATATATTGAATAAAATTAGTTGCATAAAACTAACAGATAAACAAGAACTTCACAGACTTTAGCTAAAATTTTTTAGCAAATACTTTGTGGCTGCTTATTGTGTTTCTGTTATCATGTCAAAATTATACACTATTTGAAGGACCTAATATCATTTACCTGTTTTAAAAACACAATAACAAATTATGCATCTCTATTGTCCTACCGAGCAGAATAAGACAGCAGATTTTCTAAGTCTTAAATTGTGTCTACTCAGGCTTGCCAGTGAAAAGACAAAAATACCACTTTCAAGGATTTTTTGCCTTAAATGTATATTTCCGACTTAATTAGTTAACTTCATCTTACCAGTTTGCTTAGGCAATGTCTGTCTTCTTGTGTTTAAATTAAAAAAAAAGTTTAATTATTGAATAGTCTACTGATATGTGCAAAACTATATACTTGAAATGCAAATTCCTTTGGTCCAGTGGTCAGAAATGTTTATAATAGCAGAAAATTCCAGATGCAAATTATATAAAGCTTAATACAGTTCCCATCAAACATACTTTGAAATTTATATGTTCAAATACCTCAACAGATGGAGACAACTCTAAAATTATTCCAACATTTAGGCTAGACCCATAGTAAGTTATTTTTTTCCTTTCCTTTTGTGGAGATAGCATGAGGAAACATTAATTCTCAGAGTGTCATTGGGAAACAGGGAAAAAATTACCCAATTAAGTGATAAACTATGGCTAATGAAGAAATACTTTAAGATTTATGATGTTAAGGAAATTTATTTATAAGAATATTTTAAACTTGAAACATAGTCATGACTATCTTATATGGTGATGAGAAAAATGTAAATCAAGAACCTCAGGTTGTTTCCTTATTTCTGTATCAAATCTACAGAATCTAGAACTTTCTAATTTAGAACCTAGAGGTTTCTAATTTACATCACTCAGCTTTTTTTGGGAGGTGCTGATGATCGAAAACACAAACTTGTACTTACCAGGCAATCACGTGCTGCTGACCTATATTTTTGTCCCCTCTCAGAAAAATATTCCATGTTATTAGTTAACCTACCAATATTCATTTTAGAAAATCATTTGAAATGTGTTCTTTGAAGGCCTAGTATGATTGTGTAAGGAAATTCTGTGTCTACACGTGACTGAGAAGTTTAAGCATTAAAATTCATACTCATAGAACATTCACAATTTTAAGTCATGGCTAAAGTAAGTCTTTTAAATCTGTTCAGTGTTCATGCACTTGAATAATCAAACTATAGTAATTTATTTTCCTCTAATGAAGTAAATGCAGGGAAGAACATATTTAGTACTCTTGTAAGCTATTTGGATAATTATAATCCACAGTTAAAATACAATGCTCTGCTTCACAGATGCTTGCCTTCAAAGTTTGGTAGTACCCAATCTATGCTTCCGAATAAGCAAACAATGTGAACTAGGAACATGCAAAATGCAATTTCAATATGGAAAAGAGAGGTGTATATTTAGACTTAGCACAGATTACCTTATCAAACAAATATTAGGATAATAGCCTTCATGATAAAAAATACATCTTCTTTGAGGAAGAAAAAAATGAATATTCATGATCCTTAAAGTTTCATTAGATCAACTGCATTTAGTCACCATTACAACATATAATTTCTATTTTGCTATTCCACCACCTTAGATAGGGGAGCCTGAGTTTCAGAGAATTTCAGTAACTTGTCCATGCACAGAATGGAATTTGAGTCTAAGCTATCCCTTATAAACCCAGAGGTGTGTTTACAACTCAGCTATTTTGTTACCACTACCTGGTCTCTTTGTCATTTGTAACGTATACGTACCACAAGGTTTCCAATGACCATGACCAACATGAAAACAATAAGGCACATGGTTTGGCCGGCGACCTCCATGCAGTCCCACATGGTCTCGATCCACTCTCCGCACAGCACGCGGAACACGATCAGGAAGGAGTGGAAGAAGTCATTCATGTGCCAGCGTGGGAGCGTGCAGTCCTCATTGATCTTGCAGACGCATTCTTTGTAGCTCTTCCCAAAGAGCTGCATGCCGACCACGGCGAAGATGAAGACGATGATGGCCAACACCAAGGTGAGGTTACCCAGGGCCCCCACGGAATTGCCGATGATCTTTATCAGCATGTTCAGCGTGGGCCAGGATTTTGCCAACTTGAAGACTCGGAGCTATAATAAAAAATATGCTCTTAGTGGTAATCATACTATAATTTTGTAAGTTAGGCATCATTTCACTTGTGTATTGTGTAGAAGCACACCCGAGGCCTATAAAAACTTAAAACATACTAAATTAATTAAACTTCACATGCAGAAAATAATGTTAATAATATTAGAGTTGTTAATCAAATGATATTTAAATGGAAAAAACTTCCTTTTGATTGTTCAAAAGGAACACCCATAAAACAAGTTGCTACTTTGAATATAAACTTTTTAACTTTATCAAAAACATTTTTTTAGTCTCTATTTTGCTTTTATTTTTTATTTTTATTAAAAAATTTTTTTTAGTGAGTGGAAATCAAAGTTAGGATCTAATGCATGTTAGGTACATGCTCTACCACTGAGATACATCCCATGACCTCCCACGCTATTTTATTGATTCTAAAATTTTTATTAGTGCATATTGGCTATACAGATTAATGAGTTGCAATTTGACATATTTATACACGCACATAACGTACTTTAATCATTTCCCCTTCATTATTCCTTTTTTTCTACCCTTCCTCCTACTTTAGAAGCTAAAATGAAATATCCACTGTTCATTGACCATTGTAGGAAAAAAGTTATACAATTTACTAATTTGATAAAATAAAAAATTATTCCTTTCCGTTTGAAAAGTTATATATTTACTTAATTTCCAAGAAATTATTTTTCAACGCATTTTTTGCTTTAATTATAAAAAGCTTTTGTTAAATTATTGTTCAAAATGGTAAAGGCATTACATATTTCTCTGTTTCTTTAACGTAATTCCTACTAATAACATAGAGTGGATTAATAATTGAAGATTAAGCGGGACCTAATCTTTTATTTGAATTTGTTTACAAACTATAAAGTAAAAAAATTATAGATGTAAAAAGAATTAGAAAACTCAGCATATTTTAATGTACCCACAACAGCAGGAAATATTTCAAACATTATTATTCTTAGAAAATAGTTAAAACTTAGCTTTAGAGAGAATGTTTACATATTTTCTTAGATATCACATATTGATGGAAATTTAAAACAAGAAAAGAACTGTAATAACCATGTAAATACACATTTGAGGTACTATGCTAGTGAAAGATCAGATATAAACACAGGATAGGAAGATACCAGTCTGAACGATCGTAGTACAGATAATCCCTCCACATTTGCTAGACCAAGTTCCATTAAACTCAGGCTGACAATAATTCCATCGAAGATATTCCAGCCCTCTTGGAAATAATAATAAGGATCCATAGCAATAATCTTGAGAACCATTTCTGCAGTGAAGATCCCAGTGAAGACCTAAAGTAAAATAGAATTAACACTTGAACAGCACTTGAAAAGCTTTGATTCTGCAATAATTTATAAAGAACATTAAACAGTAATGATAAAATAAAGGAAATTTAAATTGAACAAAACTATCTCAAATTTAGTATCTCCCCAATGGTCATATTTTTGTGTGTGTGTGTGTGTGAATTTGTCTTATTTAAAAAGTCAACTAGATTCCCAGGAACAGTAACATAGATTTTAAAGTATCTCATCATTTATTTTAAATCTAATACTAATCAATAGCCATCAAATACTTTTTCAGTACATTACCCTTTTTCAATTACATTTATTTTTTAGGTAATAGTGCATAGGAATGAATTCACATATTATTAGAAATAATACAATTACTAAATATTTGGTAAAATATTTAGCTGTAGTTGTGTGTTTTTCTTTAAAGTAATCGATGCATTTCTATAATTTAATATACAAGTGTATGTTTGTCATAATATTTTATGATAAAGTTCACTGGGTACATGCCTCAGAATTAAGGTTAATGGAATAACAGAGAAAGAATTGTAGCTTTAATTGAAACCAGCAGGAAAGTGCTCTCATTATTAATACAACAATAATAAAGATTTGAGTGGCTAAATAAAATATGTATTTGACAGAGGAAAGATAAACAATAAAACTAAGTCAGTTTTTCAACATAAAACCATAGGTGAAAAGACACAAGGACATAATGAGCGTGAAATTACTCTTGTAAAAAGCATTTCTCTTTATTCTCTGTGAGTAAAAGCTGTATTTTATGATAGAAAATTCAAGTTTAATCTTTACCAAGTAAGTCAGTCTTTACCTTGGAGGAATTCTGTCAAAATAACAGCACTAAAATTATTTGCTATCCTCATGCAATACATTATTTTAAAACAATCTTTACCCATTATTACAAAAGTATAAGTTTAGCTAACTTTTCATTTTCTCAGTAGCAAAAATATGCATCCCAGAAAACATAACTTAACCGCTGTTAGCATCATTTACTCAAAAAGAAATTAAATGCAAGCCTGCTACACGAAAATCTGAGTACATGGTAACAAGCACATTGAAACATCATTTTTTTTGTTTTATAACTCACAATAGGATTTTTAATTTAAGTAGTGAGTTTTCCTAGTGAATGTAAGGTAAGTTCTAGCTTAAACATTTTTTTATATAAAACTCTTAGAAACATGTATTATTTAAAATAGGAACTTCAATAGGAAAAATGCGTTAGCATAAGCTAGAAATTTTCTAGGTAAATGATTGTCAGTTACTTTTTCATACAGAAAATCATAACATGATTATGTCCAGTTCTTCTGAAATGATTAGCTTTCTTACATTTGAAAAACCATATTCTAAACATGTACTCTTTCACTCAAAAGGTAATCCAATCATTAGATGTCTTATTAAAAAGAATATTTTAATTACATTGTAAATCAAAATACAACTATATCATTTTAAAAGTCTTCAATTGAGAGCCCAAATAAAAATGAGGGAGGGATGGAGAAAAAGAGAATGAGAGAGAGACAGAGAAAGGGGAGAGAGAGAGAGAGAGAGAGAGAGAGAGAGAGAGAGAGAGAGAGAGAGAGAATGTGAGAGAAAATATTCTTCATACCATGGGTTTGAGCTTTATTGCACATCATATGTCCTATTTGTGAGTTTATCATTTTCTCATTAAAACGAATTCGAATTTCTGTGAACTAGTTTACTGCTGCTCAAATGATTACACAGATTTATAGATGAAGAAATAAATGTTTTGGTTGAATGAATAACACAGGAACATAAAAGAACTGTGAGAACTTCAATTCTTTTTTAAAAACTTGGAGTGATATAATTGTTGCTCTACTCATTTATTTTTAAATTTTATTTTATTGTTTTATGAGTATGTATTTGTGATTCATAACGAATACATTCATCATGGGGAGATTTTACACATATGTAGTATTGCAATATATATATCAATTTAATACTTTTTACTTTCTCTTCCCCTTCATACTCTTCTGTCTCCTTCCATACCTAGACCCTCTTTTTATCTCCTATTTTTCCTTTAAATCAGTATGCTCCTTTTTGTATTCTCTTTCAGTAGTACACAAAAATTATATCATTTTTCTGCTTATTAGATTTATCAAATTTGAGTGTTGAAACACCAAAGTTCCACTAGATTTCTCGAAGATGTTCTGTGTTTTTGTAGGAGGGTTTTCTTTTTTTTTAGTTTTTAACAATGTAAAAACTCTCCTACTTTGGGCATTTTGTAAACTAGAGAGTTCAACTGCACTAGTCAAAGGAATTTAGACAATGTTTTCCTCATATAAACATTTCTAATTAGTCCGAAAATACTAAACTTAGACTAAACTGTGCAAAAATAAAACATATTTTTTCACATGTGTAAGTAGAATAAGGGTTGTTATGGTTAATAAATTTGATATTATCATATAAATTACTTTGTAAAATGTGTTTTTTTATTGACATGGATGAGATTATTAGTTATAACAAATTTTCAGCCAGTAGAGACTGTCAATTTACGTATTTTTTTTCTGCCAGCAATAGACAAATGTATTCCTTCTCATATATTCCCTCTATCATGAAGAACGTTGTTTGCCCAACACAAACATGAACTTAATGATAGCTTTTATCACAATCTTCTAGTCATCAGTATCCCATTATTATTTTATACCTTATTATTTAAGTCACTATCTTAAAATTATAGACTTTTGTAACTGAAAGGGACTAACAGTCATCTACTCCAACCCAAATTTTGTTTGTCTGTAAATTGAGAAGGCAGACTCAATGGTGTAAGTGGGTTTTTCTGACTACAAAGTCATTCAGCATGAGCTCTTGGACTAGGTCACAGACAAAGAGGTTTAGTCTAGTGCTTTTCCACTTGATCATCCTATTATTCAATCTCTCTTATCCTGTTCTTTTAACTTGATAGCTTCATCATTGAAAGTCTATAAAACCTCATTTTCCTGCTTTGCTATGGTAAATTTCCAAAATATTCTTCATCTGTTCATTTCCCTAACTGTCCAGTATCCTGGGGAAAACACAAGAGCTAAAGCAGAAATATTTTCCATCAGTATTTCAAAGAAAGGCCCAAGAGGTTAATAGCATATACATAGGAGGAAGGAAGCTGTTTAATGAGCACACGCTAGATGCCAGGCATGTTAGTAGGTGTTTTCACATTACCTCATTTGACCTTCACAACAGTTCTCAGGATTGGGTATTATTGCATATATTTCAATAACAGTAAACAAAGACTCAGATTGTTTATCATAGTTTCCAGAGCTCATATGATTCTTAAACACTGGCAACTATAGTCAAATCCAGTTTCACCTAATTCTAAAGCTGGTGCCGTTTCACAAAACATGCTCCCTGAAGCAGCCCTTTTGGGAATGAAATGCCCATGGGTCATTTATTTCTATAGGTACACAGTATGACCTTTACGGGAACTGGGAGAGATATAAAAGAATTTCACCTCTGTCGTTAAGTGATTTATACCAGACATAAAATCAAAACACATAGTATTATAAAAAGTCTAATATTCAACTGTGTTTTATTCACAAGTGCATTCGGAGTTAGGAAGAATGTTCAACATGGCTCAGTATCAAGTTAGAGGAGATGTCCTAAGGTTGAACCTTGAAAGATACAAATAACTGAGATGCTACAAATGAGAACTCGCTCCATATGAATGTTGAGAACAATGAACAATGAAATATCTTCCTATATGTAAATCTACAAATATTTGCATGGTGTAAGCATTGCATAGGGCTGGAGATTTAGCTCAGTGGCATAAGTGCCTGCTTGACAAGCTCAAGATCATGAGTTCAATCCCCAGTACCAGACCAAACCAAACAACATTGCATGGTACAGTGACAGCGCTATTCTGATGGGGCTGATGGTGTCTGTTCAGGAAACAATGGTGGGAGTAATAGAAGTACTGTATTAATGACATTTTTAAGATAAAAATATAATTGAAGTGAGAAATAATAGGCCCTCATTACAAGCTGATGTAAGAAATAAAAGATGTCACATGTCAAAATGCCAGCTCTCTGGCAGGCTAAAGCAGGAGGATCATAACTTTGAGCCTAGCCTGGGAAACTTTGCAACTTAGCAAAAACATTGCTTTTAAGTAAAAGGTAAAAAAAAAAAAAAAAAAAAAAAGACTGTGGAGTAGCTCAGTGTAAGAGTGCTAGAGTTCAATTCCCAGTACTTGAAAAGAAAAAGAAAAAAAAATCATTAAGGCTGCAGTATTTTCTACCTTTGGGACTCGAAGGATGCAATAAAGTTAACATAAAATACAAGTGAGATTGATAGTACTTTTAATAAGCTCTAATCAGAGGATTTTCATCTCTGTACATGGTGTGTTTAAAGTAATCTAGTCCTTGAGCGATGATTTGGTAATAGCTAGAATATGCTACTGGATCACAATTTACAGAGCTGGAGTAGATAATTCCCCCTGTTACTGAGTACATAAAAAAACTTGAGTGAAAAAATGTACCCTTAGTAGTTTTAGGAACCCTCCCTCTTATCTGTAAAGAGGTAGAGTTGATTAGAAAGATCAAAGAAATACAAGAACTTACTACAACATGTAAATAATAAAGAATTTGTTGATCTCCTGAGCCAAATAACGCAGAGAAGCTGAGGTTACTTATTAGGATATGCATTTGTGGAATTTGTTGCCCAGCATTCTTTCTCCCGCTTTTGCTGGCAACTGTCCCTCAACCTGCATGATTTCTTGGGAAGGCCATATTTTCACAAGATCTCACATCCTACCCAGGCTGACTAAATTGAATTGTATCAAAGTTCTATCATGATTGTCTTTGAATTGGAACTCAAATATAGATCTAGCCCTTTCTAGTGCAAAGGCAGAGAGACACAAAAACTGAAGTATGGCTGAATGTCTCCTGCCTTTTACTGACAAAAGATCCAGGGACTGTTTGGGCCACCCCTAGGACTTCAATAGCAGTAGTTACTACATCTCAGTTTCAAGGGTTACCATTCCCAAAGTTTGCAGTTTATCTTAACTTTCCATTCTGTGGAACAGGTCCCTCCTCCTCCAAGTTGGGTTGAGTTGGTACAGAGGAAGGTCTTGATTACTCATTTCTGTAAACCCTAACACATTCTATCAGACTGAAACTCTTAGAAAAAAGATGAGGAAAGGGAGATCGAATCACAAAAGAAAGAAACTAATATTTTTATGGGTTAAACATTTCATATACAGTCATGAGTATCTCTTTCACTGTTAAAGACCTGAGGCTCAAAATAAATAACTTTCAGAAATCTCTATAGTTATTAATCAGAGCACTGTGTTCTTTTAGAACTAATAATCTCATTAATGACTTTCTATTAAAGATGGAGATTTCTAAAGCAAAGCTGATACGAATAACAAGTTAGCTTCCTTAAGGTTAGACAGTATGATTCTAAAGGCACATCTAATCACAATTGGAATTGCTGAACCTCAGCACCCATTAGAATCCATTGATCAGACAAAATAATGCTAGCACTATAGCTTTTAAAGAGCCAAAGAGGATCCATTCATATTCATGACTCTACAAGGAAAAATTGCACTCCAGGTATAAATAATCCACTTGTTAGAAACTACACCGTCCCTTACATTTTTATCGGAAACATGTTCAGGTTTTAGACACTAGGGACATAAAGAGCAAAATAAACATAATCACTAATATGCTGTGACTATTTTAAATAAGCTATTATGTACTAAATTGATATATTCTCTTATAAGCAAGAGTAATTTCATGAGGAAAAGGTATGTGATGTTTTGAAGGTTATAACTCAAGAAAACTGACCTAATATGGAGATTACAGAGAGCACACTTGTCTGTCTAGTTCATATAGCTTTATGGGCAAATGTATATATACATACATAGATACAGAGGCAAGCTCAAGTAACTGAAATGAAGTATTGCTGAATTACAAATGCATTTTTACCAACTATTTCTTCTCCTGTAAGATATCACTGAAGCACTTTGTTATGTAATTCAGTTTAAAAGATTTATCCTTGGGTCATCTCTTCCATGGACACGATTTCTCTAAAGACTTGCAATTAAGAACTTTGTAGGGTCAGAATGTCAGAGTTTCTCTGGACCTACATTTCCCATAAGGAAAACTGTGAAGATAGTGAGGCATTAACAACTATAACCATGATTAATCAGCACAGACATTGACCTAAACAAACTGCACTGAAACCAGTTGACACTGATTTCTGATTCTGAGATTCCCTGTAGTTTTCCTTCAGATGTTTCTTTCTCTAAAAAAAGACGATGCACTTTTTGAGCTCAACTCAGCACACATTATATTTTCCTTTGTATTATCTTTTCTGCCCTTCCCAAAGAAAGTAAGTAAATTTCAAATGAACTTACCAGGTTCCCTACTGTCAACACACTACTGAATTGATCAGTCATAGGGTAGTGTTCCATGGCCATAAAGAGAGTATTTAAGACAATACAAATAGTGATGGCAAGATCAACAAATGGATCCATAACAATTAAATTCACGAGATGCTTTACTTTTAACCAAGCCTCACAGCAATCCCAGATTAAAAACACATTGGCAAATCTATACCAGCATGGTGGGCATTTCTGTCTAGATTCTTCAAGTTCTGGGAAGACAACAAAGATGAGAAATAAAAAAATAAAAATAAACTATTCTTTCCAGTGGATTATATATGGTTTGATAAAACTAGTGCTTATACTTGAAAACAGGCTTTCACATTAGTTAATCAAACTTGAGAAGACAATCATATTACATTTTTCCATAAAATACTATTTTGAAATATTCAGATAGACTTTCTTTTTTAATTGCAAGAAATAAGCATTTTGAATGTGTTTCAAAATAACTAGTAATTGAAAATAAAAGTTCTAAATAAGACTTTGAACAATGTTAAATTCAGTAAATTACTATTTCTTTTAAAAGTATCATTTTAAGAACACTATCTGAAACTATGATTCTCACTAATATGTGTGACTTATTGTCTCTTCTTATTGCCTCCAAATCAGTAACAGTTTTCTACATAATAAGAATGTAATATGGTTTCTCTTTTAGGTATAGATTCAGATCCAAATCTACATCTGAGATTTTCTAGCTTCATATATGAACAAATGACTGGTAATTTTAATGGGTTAATCCTGTTATAAAAATAACATTACTATTTGAAAATCAAATATTCAATACAGCAGAGCCAAATGTAATTGATTTTTTCTAAAGAGAACGTATGTTACAATTGAATTATATAATTAACTTACAAATTACAATACTAATGTAATATTTCTCCAAACTTAAAGGAATAAGGATTTGCTGAATGTATGACCAGAGGAGTAATAGTTGCTGACCACTCCTGTGTATTAAAATCAACAAGCATTAGTGTCACCTGTCCTATTGAGGAATGTCATGATTGCTGTGTATTTACAAAATGAAGGAGAGATATTTTTAGAGTCTCTGTTGGAGTGGGACACAAGTCTTAATTTATCCAACTCATTTATATTTGTCTCTGTGACATCATTGCATGTCCACGCTTGAAAACTGTTTGCTCAGTCTGAATAAGACTAATGTAATATTAGAATGAATCTTCACTGATACACTACCAAATGGTAAAATGTCACTCTCCAAATGAGAGTATCCAAGTAAATCCAAGTAAAAAATAGACTAGAATTATTTTTTTAATCAATATACTTTAGCTCATTAACTCAATAAGTCAATAACTCTCAATAATTAACTCAACAACTACAAAAAGAAAGAATGGCTCTACAAAGTCTGCAATCAATAGCAAGGTTAACCTCTCAGGGCCTGTTTCTTACCCTCCATTGTGTTGGTCAGGATGCTGGCTATGCTCATGGCTCTTTGCCTTCCGGAGGAATCCTCCAGCATTTCCATTGAAATCTGGTAAGAACTTAGCCTTCGTTTTCTTACTTCTGTTTCCGTGGTGGTGCCCTGCAAACCAAATACCAATAGCTCAAACCACCCTTTGCAGTGAATAATGCAAGACCACATACATCTCTTTGGAAAAACATGCTGCATGCAATTTTTATAATTGTTGGTTATGTTGCAAACACTTTTTAAAAAGTCACACATGATAGCCTTTAATGAGAATTCACTAATTGAATGTAATTATATAAGGCAACTGTGTTACAGAAATATTAACATGTCAGAGGTTTCAGGGAAAATTTTTTAAACATGCCAAAATTTGTTGTTATTTCATTGAAATAAAAATGGATTTTTTTCTTATATTGATTTTAGCAGCCAGCTCAATCTTCCCCTAAAGTAAATGCTATCATATAGTCTCAATGCTGAATTACTTCCTTTGAGGCTATATTGATATACACGGGCCAATTTTGCCATGCACAAACACAGATGTACAATGAAATGTGTGTGCTTTCCTGATATTTCTTTAATTATTTCTAAATGCCACCCTATACAAAACTGACATTTTATCTTAGTTGCATTTTGAATAGCACTAGAATCATTGACATTTCAATGAAAACTAATAATTATTATTATATTGGTCATTACAATATTTAAGGACTATGAACAGATAATTATATAACATTGGGCAAACCCACATCTATAATAAAGATTTGATTGTCAAAACACTCAATTATTTTGTGTTGGTAGGTTACCAAATTTGCAGATATGTTTCATTCAAGACTCTCAAAATTGAGCCTTTTAACCTAACGCATTTGAAAGCTAATGGTTTTATAAAATTCCACTGGTTCTCAAAAATTTTCCCATTCCCAATACATTAGTCATGTATTGTTTTAAAGGACTTTTATTTTGCAGAGGCATAATGGTACAAAGGGCTAAACTGTCCAGACTTTGATGATCTCAATTGCTGTATAATGTCAGTAGTGGCTAGTTTTATCTATTATCACCTCTGGCTGAAAAGGTCCAGTAGGTGACGTTAGAACTGATGGTCCACCCACCAAGGAAACCACACCATTGCAATCCACAGTGCTGTGCATCTTCCCATCTGCTGGAAGCCCTGGCACCATCCTGGATGACATACTGGCCTGACTAACGTTACTGTTGCGTCGCTCTCCATGTCTGGGCGGCACAAACAGTGAGTCTCTCCTGCTCTCGCTGTCTTCAAAGGTGCTGTGCTCATCATCAGCAAAGTCATTCTCAGATCCCACATCCTTGGTCCGTCCTCTGAAGCTGAAAACGCTCGTTTTGCTATTGCGTCTTGGGGAGAATAGGGATCCGCGGATGCTCAACAGAGACTAAGGAGAAAGCGGGGAGGAAAGGAATGGGAGGGGGCGAGGGCGCGGGGTGGGGCACAATTGTTTAAAAAATATTTTAATATCGTAGAAATGATTTGTCTTCAGGTTGGAGTAGTCTTGCTCTTAAACATGGGTTATCAAGTATATAGAGAACACGTATCATTGGACATTTTGATATTAAAGACTATAATGAACATGTAACTGTAAAGAATGTTGTGACGAAGAATTGATTTGCAATTTACAAAGTGCACGACCATTTTATTTAATCTTCACTCACTTAATCTTATGACATGGATTGTGTCACTGTCATGTGATGGGGAGGGACTAGAGGCTGCTGAGGATAAATGACTGGTGGAAGAAGTGGTTAAACAATCAGAGAGTGGCTTGTGCTTCTCAGTGCGAGATTTGCAGGGCATGCAGCTGGAATTAAACTGTGGCTCAAGTGAGACTGTTGACTCAAATTTTAAATATTTGCATAAATATTTTATATTTTCATAGTTATAGCATTGGAAAAAAAACCACTCTAATCTCTCCATTTTCTTCTTCTGGATTCTAGAATGAAGATCTCTGAATGTGTTTGGCTCCCTCCACATAGGAATAAGTCACAAAACAAATCTATGAGTCTGTCTTGCAAATCTTAGTATTTCCCAGCAAGTCACTTTCCTTGATAGGTTATATGTCATAGCAGATGCTGCACAGAGGATCCCTAAACCACTCAATATGTCATCAATCATTTACAAAAATCTAACTGTAGTACCCAGATGTCATGGCTCAGGCCTGTAATCCCAGCAATCAGGAGGCTGAGATAGGAGGATTGTGAAAGTTTGAGGGCAGCCTGTGCTACACAGTGAGTTCAAGCCCAGCCCAGACCACCTAGTGGGACTCTGTTTCAAAAAGCTAAAACAAAAAATTTAACTTTAGCCTAAAAAACCAGGATCTTACTAAAGACAGCAATGTGGAAAACAGCTTAGTCTTTTTTATTTTAATTGTACTAAAGTGAACTTGGTGTTTAAAAATTGCTCATGGTCTGTTTTTGTTGTTTGTTTTTTTGCTGGGGAGAAAGCCCAGGACCTCATGCAGGCAGGACAAGTACATTTACCACTGAGCTATCTCACTGGCCCCCAAAATATTATATTACAGATATTCACAAATAAATCAAATAAATAATTTCTAATTCCAGAAAACAGGGACTTGATTTAAAGCTCCTTTCATTTTTCAATGGATTTTACTTTTGTGATCAGTAAGAGTTTTCAAGAATATATGTCTTCAGTCTGCAGAACATCGGTGAACTTTCCTCATCACTAACACCACAGTGTTTCTCTGTGGTCACTCTACTTGCTCTCACTTCCTTCTGTATCTCTCTCCATGCACACTGTTAGAGTTTATGTCTAGATGTTCCCCCAAAGCCTCATGCTCTCCTAGGCAGGGCTTTGGGGGAGGTGGCTGAATCAGGCGCATGTGATTTTAGATTATAGGTATGTGGCTTATTAATTGACTTAACATGGTTCTGGGTGTGGAAAATGGGAAGGCCCACCATGGTGTGCATGGCTTGTAGCCAGGATGAAATGAAAAGAGAAAAGAAGGCTTACTGCTGCTTCCTGCCTGCCACATCATGAATATTTCTCACCTACCGTGGTGCCCTGTCTTGGAACCAGCCAACTACGGACTAAAAATCTCTACAAACTGTGAGCCTTTCCTCCTTTATCTTGTGGGTGCCAAGCATTTTCCTGCAGTGATGAGAAAGTAACTAAGATATGTACACACATAGGAACACATACATATACAAATACATATATATGCCAGCAGCAAATGTACTTGGACATTTCCTTTCTTCTTCTTCCTATCAGTTTATATCAAATAAATAATAGTGGAAAAAACAGTAGGAAGCCAGTCCCTTTCATAATATTTTTGGTCTCTTTGCCTAATTAGGTCAGGCTGATTCTGTCCCATTTTTAGCTCTATTTCTCGATTTTTCCAGGGTCACAAAGTATCAGAATAATTTTTGTTGCCCTCTGTCTCAGTGTTATTCTTGAAAGATGTTAGTATGCAGTACATTGCTCTTTTGTATTTGATTAAACCCTCCACAAGAACTAGAGGTTGCTCAGCTTATTTAAGTTGTGGCTGTGTCTATGTGACATTCAATTCTTGTAGTAGGAGTACCTACCTTATATCAGACTATTTAAACTGATTTTCATTAAAGTGATCAAGAGATTATATCCTCTTCATTAATAGTAAGTGCTAATGTTTTCAGTTCCCTAAGACTCTAGTTCAATTAGTATTATAATAATTGTTATGTTGAGAACTACCTTTTTAAATTTTAATTTGTAAGGAAATAACTTTGAGCGTTTAAAACATATATTTTGAGATCGCATCTTGTTGGAATTGTGATTTACTAAGCAGTTGCTGTGTTTTGAGTGTGAGGTCAAAGGGTGCATGTGTTGGAATCTTAATTCCTCAGCACGGCACTTTTGGAAGTTGAAATCTAGCGAGAGATGTTTAGGTTTGGGGTGGAACCCTTGTGAATGGATTAGTGCTTTTCTCATGAATGGACTGGCTATCATGAGAGTCTGGTACCTTCTTTTTCTCTTTCATTATCTATCCATTTGCTGTTTCACTCATGGGTCCTTGTGCTAAGCTGAACAGATGCTAGTGCCATACTCCTGAACTTTCTGACCTCTAGACTATGAGTCAAAACATCCTGTTTATTTTATAAATTTCCAAGTCTCAATTATTCTGCTGCAGTAACAGAACACAGAGTAAAACAATTGAAGGTAGGATTCAAGAATCCGAATTTGTGACACGTATTCCAGGTGATTCCAAACTCATGTGGACCTAACTGTTTACTCATAGAAATATAAACTTACATTGTATTATGATTATGTTTTATATGAATCCCTAGGATGGTTCAATATAATCACTTTAATATATCTATGTTCTGCAACTCTCTGGAAACTGAAAATGTCTCTATATAACACTTGTTGGGAGTATGCTGTATTTTTACATTTATAACATATCTGATACATGCTTTTATTTGCATGTTTTTATGTTGGGGTGTTCTCAGAGGCGTTTCAGACCTTAGTTTATTTGAAGTTTCTATTCACTCTTTGGAAAGTGTAATAATAGGTGTGAGCATAGCTTTCAAGGCAATGCAGACCAAAAAAGAAGATAATAAAAATAGTATGCAGAGAAAATACCTAAAAATAACATGCTAAAGATGCAGCAAAGAGGGGAAATACCCACAGCTGTGGAACCCTTTTTCTAAGAGGAAAGAAGAGCTTTTATGTTGAACAGAAAGCCCATCGCTTTTCACCTCAGGCCTACTGTAGCACAAATTACAGGTATCTAAGAGGATAATTGTGGACTTTATAAAAATTTTTCAGTAACAGAAAGGAAGACACAAGAATTAAATCTGTAGTACATTCCTGCAGGAAGGGTCTGGATTCACAGTTTGCTGGGGAAAATAAAAAAGGAGGACACAGGAATTTCAATTTGTTCATGTGGAAACATGTAAAATAAATATTTGTTGGAAATATTCACTTCAAATATGTGTACCATTTGTTATCTCTGCCAAATTATCAACTACATTTGGTATTAGCTACAAAGTTTGTAGTTTAAAATAAATGGCCTCAGTGTGTTCAGAGAACATTCTGCCTGTAATTTATGGCCTTTCTGCTTTGACAATTTCAGAAGTTAAATTTGTTTTGAAAATATGTCTCTCCTGTGCCTGCCATCAACACAGATTCTCTTTCCTAACAGAGAAAGTTCTTTTTTCTTTACAAAGCAGGAGTATAAACTGCTTCTAGTGTATTTCTGTTTATGCGTTGTGTTAATGCCTTCTTGCCTATCTTTACTAGAATCTGTAAATTCAGTGCTAATCAGTTCCTTTACTTTTGAGATTCTATCTTATCTATTTACAAATATGAAATGAACTACTTATACCTGATGCATAGGTGGTGTTGCTGTTAATGTTACAACTTGTCAGCTAACCGCCCTGTGCTGCTGCTTCTAGGTGGTTTAATCAGCCCCTGTAATTCAGGATTCCCATTTTTTGAGGTTTGGAGAGTCACCATTAGGTATTGCACGCTCTCTTCCATCAGCCTGGAATACTGGTCTAAGCGATAACTTCTTTCCTTGCCTTTTTGAAATCTCACTCAAAATGTGCCATTGACTGCAGTCTTCCTAAATCACCTTATTTAAAATTTTGCTTTCAATTATGTTTCTTGAGTGCATCAAGCATTTATTACCTTCCAATATAATATATTATTTTATCGTTTAGTATTTATTAACCTTTACAAAAAGGTTCCGGGAGGTTAATGAGTTGAATCTCCTTGGTCACTGAAGCATAGTCAACATATGGAACTATTCCTGCCGCATAGTAGGTGATTAATAATTTTCATGTGATAAATTTACCTGCCATTATTTTATATTAAAGGAAAATACCATGTTGTAAACAGAAATATGTTACTAAGTGTAAAGAGCAATGAGCAATTGAAACTACACAAATTTTTAGTTTCTTTTATTTACAACTTAATGCAATCATTTTATTTCAAGACTCATTGTCACATAAGATTTCTATTTATTGGTTAACTCTCTATAACTTGATAAAGTAGGCATTATTACCTCAATTTTCAGAAATTAAAAAGTATAAGTGACTTGATCAAGGTGATAAAATCATTGTGAAGTTGAGACATGAGCAAACCTTTTGTTATGTCAATCATTATGCTACACTGAAAAATATTACTCATCAGTCCTAATGGTTTTAAGAATGCCAAAATATCCACAGTGACACTTCAATTATAACAAAAATCCTTGGTCTGAGAAATTGACTCCTATATAGTTTCAAATTAATTCCAAATGTCATTGATTAAATATGGATTAAATATTTTATATTTATGTTTTGCAAGACAGTAGTAGTTGAACCCATCAATAACAATTTTATCTGCAGAAAAAATTTTTTTATCTTAAAACTCTTTTTGTCTACATGTCTATTTTTTCCTAAATGGAGTGCAAGTTCCAAAAGACTTTTCTTTATTAGAGTACTATTTGCATATTTAGTGTAAATTTTATAAAATACTGACAATTATGTACCATCTTTTCTCTCGATGAACAGCTAATCAGTATACTGGATTAAATTTTGTGATTATCACTCTTTTATTAAATAATCATTCTTTGTAGAAAGAATATTATACTCTTTGATTGATGTGGTTTTGCTTTAAATTAATCATATGCAGTGTCTTTAAAGTATTAACCTTAAAGTATGTACCAGCTCAGATTAATTTAATTAGATGAGCTTGTCTTTCACAGCACATGAAATTTTGATAAACCAAATAGAATGTTCAAAGCATAACTGTGCTTATCATCAATCTCAGACCATTTGCGTTATATAATGCATAAATGTATTAACAACAAAGTGCTGAAATTGTTTTTTATTTGAAAATATGCTGAAGAATTGGATAGCTGGCTTTAAATTGGAGCAAAAATTGACAGTCTTCAAAGTCATTTCTTCCAGAGCATTTGGGTTATTATTTTATTCTATGTTCCATGGCTTGACTCCCATGGTGGACTAATAGAGACTCATCTCAGCACCATCCACACACATATCAAAGGATAAAGCAGAACTCCAGAGACATTTCTATTCAAAATTCATGCATGTGTTACAGTTGCAGCCTCAGATGGTAAGGCAGAGATCCATTCCTAAGGTTTGTCTGAAATCCCCAAATGGCAAAGGTAAATAAAAGCTTCTAAAATCATCTCAGTAAAGAGAAAATTCTGATAAGTAGGTCACACCCCCCAGAAGTTAAGAAAAATGGCCTCAAATCATGAACTGTTTAAGCTTTCAGTAGTTTAAATTTTTAAAATCTCTTCTATGGACAATTCATGACAAGAATTTAAATAGTTAATTAAACGTTAAAGCCCTGTCCACACTTAAATTCAATAGTGCAAACACATACCCACATGAAAGATGCCAGTTAAAAAGGAAAGACAGACAAAACAAACCAGAGCATTAGGCAGCGACTCCTACCTGATGAGGGGAGCAGAACTTCTTGTCACTGCTCAGTCGGTTTCCATCCATGGAAAAAAGGAAGCTTCTCCTTTTGACGCTGTCTTCTGATTCTGACTTGGGAAACCTGTCTGCCTCTCCTCTGTTGTGTCCTTCAGAATGGTCCCTCTGTCTTCTTTTCTTCCTGCGGTTCCTCCACTCCTTGGCACTTTTGGAGCTTAACTTTGATGCTTCTGAAGAACTTTCCAAGAGCTCTCCTAACCCACCTATCCCACTGAAATCTCTTGAAGCAGCAGATGCGGCTGCAACTGCCTGTTATGAAACAGAACCAATTACTGTTTAGAATGTGTAGCTTGGAAAACAGGCGACTGTGGTACAGTTCTGTCCATCCAGCACTATTAACTGCATGGCAAAATGATGTCTGCTGGTACTTCTGCTTTTCTTTCACAGGAAAGTTTATTTAATATGATCCTTAATGTTTTAAACTACACAGCAATATGCTAGTCCATGAATGCAAGAAATGTGTGGTCTCACAAACCTCCTGGACTGAATATTTTTTTCTTTTAACTCAGTGGAGATTAGTTTAAATTTGGGGAACATTGGTGTTAAACTTTCTTTATAATTTAAAAATAATGTTTTCTCAGTGTAGTTATATTCCTTTGATCACTATTTCAATTCTATCCATTGGGCTATGCTTCCCATGTACAGCTATGAACAACTGAGTCGGTATTATTTTTTCCTTTAAATCCAATACAAAAAGCTTTTTTTCTCTTTTATTTTCTGAACTCAAAATATTCAAAGTACACACTATTTTACCCCCAATGGAAATGGTTGGAATATACTGGCTAGATTTTCTTGGTTCTTTATTTGAATTACTTTTGGGACTAAGGTTTGCATCTCTTTGGTCATGCTAATCCCAGAGAATATACTATATAGTACTTTTCACTTTTAAAATTTAAGTTTTACACATTATTATTATTATTATAAATGATTAACATTTAAATATAATAAATGCCTGAAATATTTTTCAAGAGATTATGAGAATTTCAAATATTTTTCTCCACATTTCAGCACTAAAGTGTTATAAGCATTCTGAGTTCCAGTATCTACTAATGAAATAGAGTTAACTCTGAGGTAAAATATGTTTTATGTTTCCACGTATAATATTTTTAAACTGGAACTGATTTAACTATAACTTTCAGAGGCTGTAAAATAGCAATATGATTTATATCAAAGCTGAGTTCTCATTAGGTATAATCATATTTTTAAACAACCATAGAAGCAGAAATAATTTAATTATGAAAATATTACTTAAACTTTTACATTTGTCATTAAGAAGTACAAAGAGCTCTCATTTTGTCTATCTTCCCTATGGACTATAAATTAGATAAGAATTTCGTCATTTTTTTGTATGCAGAATGTGTGGTATGTCTCTGGATATAAAAAGTGCTGGTACATGTTTTGTGAATAGAGATTTTAAAAAGATGTCTTACACTAGGGAGATAGTATGATGTTTACATATATGTGTCTGATTTACTTTATTTATGAGTTTGGTCTCTAGTTCCATCAATTTGCCTTAAAAAGTCTTGAGTTTCTCCTTATTTATAGCTGAATAGTACTTCATTGTATAAAAATGCCACATCTTTTTATCCATTCCTCAGTTGATGGGCATTTGGGTTGTTCCCAAGATTTAATTATTTCAAACTGTGTTGCTATAAATGAGTGCACTCAAAGACTTAATGATATCTAAAATGTACAATAAATATTGTGAAAGAGGAAGAAACTGCTCAAAAGGAAAGAACAATTGGAATGAGGGAGAAGAGAAAAATAAGGGAAAAACGTGTATATTATATATATATATATATATATATATATATATATATATATATAGCTAAGATAATTATGCTACTCATTTTGTTTAGGTCATTGAAAAGAATGGTTCGTGTTTATATTGTTTGATTAATTTTTCAAGTCTATGTTTTGTAACCTGAGCAACTACTTTGAAGATAACAATATACAATATATTAACTTGTTAATTTCCTATTATCTTATTTTGAAATTCTGTATCATTGTTTTTATTGACTTTTTTCTCTTTAAAAAAATGTCTTGACCTTGACTTTTCTAAATCCTATAAACTACTGTATGTCAGAGTGGCTTGTGTGATAGCAACATATTTTAGGACAGAGAAAAGGTAAAATTCATATACAAAGCTATTATTATTTTCAACTAAAATTGATTTTATTTCTAGTTGAATATATCATTATTTTAAACTAAAACTTTTTAAAATATTAAAACTGAAAAAGGGCTGTGCTGCATATTCTTGAGGACCTGCATGACTAGAGAGAATGGAACTAGACTAACCATAGTCTGAAATGTATACATTGACCTAGCCAACATTTAAATTATAATACAGATATTCATTTTATAGAGCACTACATTTATACAGAAATCCAGATCCAAACTTGATAGATGACAATCTCTAAAATTTAAGTGAAACCAAATTTAGAATTTATAAAATATTTACAAAATTGATTGTAGTTAGATTTCTTAATTCTTGCTTTCACTATCACTTCTAATATTATCTATTGTTATAAATGAAGATTAAAGTACTTTATAATTTGATTACCTAAACATAATCAAATGAACAAATTAAACATTTGTCTTAGGCAAGTTTAGTTACATATATTTGATAGTAGGAGGTACCTAATATATACCATTCATTCAAAGAATGAATATAAATGTATCGTTTTAATTCAAATACAGTCCTTAATTCTTTTTTCTCCACTGAACAGACCTAAACACAGTGAAAATAATATGTTTATTTATTTTTCCCTGGAAACAAAGGAAGTGTTGGTAATAGTCCCTTAGCATAATCCTGAAACACATGTTCATTTAGATGGCTTCTGGAATTTGTTTTGTATAAAATATGATTTCCCTAATTCTGAGTAACAGCTCAAATAACTGAAAACCAAAATGGATTTTCAAGGCAACAAAGGTAACCTCCAACACAACAGAGTTTCTATGTCACTCATCAACTCAAATCTGTGACTTGTTCCACTTACGTAGATTTGCCGAGTCCATCAAAGGCAGATGTTTCCTGTCATTTCTTGTGTCTGTCTACCTGTTTATAACCAGCTCCATGGCACTACCAATATCCTGTTTACTTGAAATAGTAGTGATTCTTTTTACGGTTAACTTCCTGTATTTTTCTTGCAACAAATAACAAATTAGTATTTAATATTTACACAGGTAAGAATGTTTTTCTTATAACATTTCTCTGTGATCTAAAATATCTTTGTAACTCATGATATGTGTCCTTAAAGACATAATCAAATAACTAATACTTTGTTCATTTTAAATGTAAAATTTCATTCAAAACCATAAAATAGCAACTATATGTTTCAATTGTATCCCTAATTATATTAGATCTCCTAAATGTCATTTTTAATTTTACCTTATAGTTTATTCTTATTTTTTTTTCTATCAGACCTGTATATAGGTCTGATGGGATATACTAACCTGGACAGTATTAGATATTTAAAGATTGTAAATGCCAAACATAATTACAGTGTTCTAGCATAAAGCATTTATTTCTTTGTAAGGTTGACCTTCTTTCATGTTTTAAAGCTGCATGCTATTTCTTTATGTCTACACAATGAGTAACACTAGAAGACCCTAAATAGATATTAAATAAAAATGGTAGTAATGTAGGCTTCTTGAAGTCAATAGACTCAATAGTCTTGCAAAGTTAGTGAGCACAATTAGGCTCTGCTACAGTACAAATAACTTCAGTCAGTCTCAATCCCGCACAACTCATTTTGCTTTTAACTCTCTCTGCTTCAACATTGGCTCTACCAGCCATCACTGTATTTGTTGTCAGTAAGGAAGCAAAATTGACTGCCACTGCACTATTCTAATAAGTGTAACAACAGTTTCTCTAAGTATTGTAAAGCTAAATGTGATTCAGGTCACAACTATTCAGTCATTGGAATCTAATAAATAATTTTAAGTGGATAGAATTGCCATATTTTAACTGAAATAATCATTAGGTAGAGATGTAGGATCTTTAAATGTTTATTAGACACATTTGTAAACTCCAAAAGTTTATACTATTAAATCAATTTTATATTTTACTCTAACCTATGCTACATCTCAGAATAAATTTAGTCTTGAACTGTAATCTGTGTGGCATTTCCAGGCAGACCACTTTGTCTCTTTTTATAAATAATGATAGAATAATGCTTTATAGTACAGTTAAATGCAATCTATGCACATTATTTTCTATAAAATATATATTTTAAAAATTGAAATTAGAAAAGTCTTTGTAAGCAGCTATCTCGCTTTGCTATCTTATGAAAGTATTTTATTTATATTGATGAAGTGAAATTCTTAAGTGACTGAAATATAGTAGAACTTTCTACCAGTAAGGACAATACATGAGTTTCAAATTTGCTTAGATTTTCCTTTTCAAATGAATAATCACTACTCCATTCCAAGGGAAGAGGGGAATAGCATAACCTCCACATGCTGCAAGTGCTAAATCTATGGTAGAGACAAGTAATTAGCCAAGCAACTCATTGGTAACTTCATGTTCTATCAAAAACACTTCAAACAGCATCACATACACTATGTTATAAACCAACAAAGTAGCTCACGATTGTTAAAATCTTTGGACTTATTAGTTCCAGTTATGTAACATCATTAAGATAGTATTTTGAATGTCTGCATTCGTACATCTAAGGAAATTACCACAAAAACATCAGCACAAAAACCATTATATGGAGATGCAAAACATTTAAATGATTTAGAAATGAGGTAACTATATCTCAAAACAAAGATCAAAAGTTTTTTATGAATACAGAAATATTAAGCACCCAAAAAAGTAAAATAGTCAGTTTCTGGAAATCAATTGAAGACTGTCAGAAATACAAAAAGTAAAGAATATATACCAAAGTTTAAGAGAAAAAAATCAGAACTGAACAAGAACCAACACAGACATTAAAATTAGCATACAAGCACATTGTATATGTTCAAAATATTAATTAGACATAAAATATAAAGAAGACGCAGATCTAGTTTTCTAGAAGAAAGCTGTAATGTCTGTAATGGAACTGCACTACGTAAAATTAACAGATTAGACAATGAAGAAAAAAGATGATAAATTTGAAGATATAGTAATAGAAACTATCTAAACTGAAATAGCCAACCTTATTCCAAAACTCGTATGGACCTAGACCAGCCAAAACAGCTTTGAAAAGTCAACCTTAGTTAGACGGCTGACACCATCAGTAGTATTATTATGAAGTTGCAGTAGCAAGATAATGTGGTATTACTATAAAGAGACAAATTATCTAGACAGGGAAGAGTCTCAAACAGATTCACATACATATGGACAATATTTCTCACAAAGGCTCAAAGCCAAAAAGAAAGGACATTTTTGTTTAATAAATGGTGTTGGAATAACTACAAATGCTTATGCAAAAAAAGAGGGTATGCATGACTCATACTTCATGCAAAATTAAAGTGGATTATTGACCTAAAATCTAAAACTTTACAACTCTAGAACAAAGCTATCAGAGAATATCTTTGTTGTATTGGTTTGGCAAAAATTTGTTAGATGCTACATAAAAGTCACTGATTTTCTTTTTGAAAAAGCCAAAAAGTAAGTAAATTTCATGAAGTGTACAGCATGAAATTTAACATTTTTTGCTCTTAAAAATTACTGTTAGAAGAAAAATATAAGTTTATACTGGGAGACAATATTCTCAAAGTATATATGTGATAAAGTATTTGTACTTAGAATATATAGAAAGCACTTAAAACTAATAACAAAGTAATCAGAAAGACTTAAATTAAAAAGACCGACCATATAAAAAATTGGCAAAGATTTGTATGAGCTGTAAGTAGCTGACATGAATCAGATTCTTGTTTTGCCTCTGACAATCTTTATTTTGTAATACACAGCCATTCTTGCTCATTTTTTAATCCAATACTGTGTTGCTGCCTTCTCTCCAGCTATGAGGCCCAATGAACTACAACCCTAACTCAAACAAGTACTAATAATGAAAAATCTAAAGTTGGCACATAATTCAGATGCCGCCCTAATATCTTGTTTCGACTATGGCAGGCATCTCTCATATTGCAAAAATCGCAAAGACTGATTAAGTGTCGGCATACATAAGATTTTCTTGTTAACACCTGAGATCGATTAATTTTAGAATGAAACCTCTAATGTTACAATTAGAGAAGAAAAGTTTTAGTTGGAAATATACCAGATACATTTCTTTTTCGAATTCAATGAAAATTAAATTATTTCCTCATCTTCCACAAGATAATTGCTTAGCAAACCTTATACTCAACATGATCTCTACCTACTGCTCTGTTTCTTTATAGTACATAAAGCTGAAAAAGTTTCTTTGCCTCCACCTTGAGAAACAGTTTCAGGATTGAACAGCTTTGTCATTTGAAATGCAATATCTATATGCCAAATGAAAAGCCCGTTCAAAGTAATCCCTGGAGTACAACAATATCCCCACAGAGAAACTACAATAATAAAAGTTTGCATGTTACCACTCAGTACCTGGGCTTCTTCCTGCTGCTTTTTAAGCTGTTCGAGCATCTGCTGAAACTCTGCCTCTTTCTGTTCAGCCTCTTCCAACGTGGCCTGATTTTGTTCCTCATAGGCCATGGCCACCACAGCCAGGATCAAATTCACCAGATAAAAAGAACCCAAAAAAATGACTAGGACAAAGAATATCATGTAGGTTTTCCCAGCAGCACGTAATGTCTAGGGAAGAGAAGAAAATAAAATCATACTGATATTTTAGTGTAATAGCCCCCAACAAATATCTGATGCCACAATTAGAAATATTCCCCCTCACTTCAGACATGTTTATCACATCACTCTTGACACCTTCGGATGCAGTTCTGGAAGTCTGCTTTTGTATCTCCCACAGAAGAGGGGTGACCAGAAACAGGTGAATGCTGCTGCCAAGTGCTTTCTGACAGAAAGACATGGTCATAAAAAATAGTGTGGTGTGCTGTATTCACTTGATAAGTCACCCACTCCTGAGTCTTCCTCAAAGTCAGAATGACCAGGAAAGGAAAATATTTGGAAAGAATTAGAAGGAGGAGGCAACCATGCCAGCACAAATAAAACTTGGGAAAGAGGTCAGCCAGAAGAGCTTCTGAAAATGGCAGGCAAGGATGATGGGGTAAGTGAGTTCAAGCTGAAGAAGAGTATTTTAAGTATTAATGGTAATATGTCCTTCATGTAGCAAAGTTTTAAAAAATTAAATATCATATTTGTTGATCATACCTTATAAACACATTTCAAATTGGTAACTGTTGTATATATATGAACCTCACTAAAATATCTGTACTAGTGTTCATTACGCAAGGCAGTGTTACAAATGAAGGTCTTTAATTTCTTTCAGTGGGTTTCTAGGTCCACAACGTCATACACTTTACATCATCTATAGATGATATCATTCTTCCCTCCTCTTCTAGCCTTAGTTAACTATTGGTTCACTTGAAATTTTATATAATGGATTTTTAATATTTTTCACATTCCAGATTTATCTCCATAACTAGATAATAAAGTTTTTAAAATCATGAATATTCTTTGCATTCTCCATAGCAGAAAACCTGTCTTATATGGAAAAGCTCACCTCCCAGCCTGACTCTAATTCTGACTGAATGAAGGACGAGTGAAGATCCTAGGAACACTTGGTGCACACTGTATTGTCTGTATTACAGGTTTGTTAACACGTACTCTTATCATTTTGTATGTAAAATAAGTAAAAGTATGCTTATCATTTTATATATACGCATAAAAGTAAATACCACGTATGTTAATTTGGATCTTACCAATTGGTAAAGATTCTCCCAGTAGTCTTGAGTCATGAGTCGAAACAGAGATAAAAAAGCCCAGCTAAAGGTGTCGAAGCTAGTGTAGCCGTAGTTGGGATTTCGACCAGCCTTCACACAGATGTATCCTTCTGGACAATGGCTGCAAATAGCGAAGTGACAGTGAGCTCAGAAGAGATAGCACAGAAAGTTTCACTGATCTCCACTTACAAGAATTGTCAAAACCCAGAGTTGTTATCTTTGATGATTCTTTTCCTTTTGTTTTCATACTTGAGTTATTTGGTCACAGGAAATGCAACAGGTGAAACATCTTTAGAAAAAGTAGAAGCCTGAGGTATAAAGCAGCCAGACTGCAGATGTTTACAGTGGCAGAGAGGCAACAACCACGTACATTCATTTTATACTGTTAATTACAATTCAATAATGTTTTCCTTTCCTTTCCAAATTTTCTACCATTAGTCATGGGAACCTTTTTTTATTTTTAGTTGTTACCTGTCTCACTTTGACATACACATGGTTGCAAAGACATGGTTTGTCTTTATTTGTTTCCTTTATATGCTTTCTTATTTCTGGCACTAGAAGATGCTCCAGATTCACCTTTTATCTAGCATAGGCAAGTTCTAGAGCCAATATTTCCAACAAAGAGTGTTGGTTCTTTTTTTAGAGAATAGTATTAGAAATCTGGATTGGGTGCTCATTAGCAAGGGTGTTCCTTGCTAATGAGTTATTATTACTTTTAAGTCAGTTAGTTGACAGAACCAGAAGATACATGTGGATATGGTAACTGGAGAACTATAGATAGATCTAAACAAATATCCATATTTGCCACCATTCATGTTCAGATTAAGCTAAACTTAAGCTCATGCTCACATCTCACTTTGAGGTCACTACCACAAGGAATATTTTCCATATGTCTTTTTGCTTATTTGTAACTTGTTGCTCCATCCACTATCCGTCTGCTTAACTGTCAGCACACACGCAGAGAAGCTTCTGGATTATCAGGCCACACTACCCTGAGAACAGACTTGATGCACTGGTGTACAGTGTGCTTTTAGTCTCACAGACTCCAATCATTCCCACATCACCCAGTTCCTTCAATAATTTTGTTTCACACATTTAGCTTTAACTATTTGTATCATATTCTTCTTTTAAGCATTCCTGGAATCTCATCCTCACAAAGAGTTTTTAAAAATTAATTTCAAACATTGAAGATCACTCCTTGTTCTATGAGTTTTGACAAACACTGTTTTATGTTCAACATTATGCAATTATATTGAGTGATTTCTCCATTCTAAAACTATAATGGAACACTATTGAGCCATAAAAATGACAATTTGAGACATTCATGGGAAAATGTATTCACCTAGAAAATATATTTTTGAGTGAAATATGACAGACTCATAAGCTTAAATCCTGTATGGTATCTTTCCTTTGAGTGGAACAATGTGCAGACAAAGAAATTATGAAGAAAGTCATAGAAGAGGACAAATGGATGGATCTTTTGCAATCGGAAAGAGGTTCAGGGAACAAGGGAAAGGGGTGAAGAAGAGGGGAAGGGGACATAAGTAGAATAACATTTTCTATGCACAGAAACCTAGTAACCTCAATGAACAGAAACATTCTATGCCCTAACATGAGTTTAGATTAATAATATCAACTGGAATAAAAATCAGAATAAAGGAATAACAGGAGGAGAAGAGGGGGAGGAGAGGGAAGGGAAACAAGCTGTAGTATGTATGCGTACCCACTCTCCAAGGTGATTGTAAATGGCATGTAGTGCATGGCACTAATAAAATTAAAAAAGGTAACAGCAATAACAAATACTTCTCTGTGCTTACCTAGTTAAAACCCCATCATGACCCCTGCAAACACTGATCTGCTCTTGTCTCTATTGTTTTGTATTTTCTAGAATGTAATGTAATTAACATTCTTAAGTAGCTGTTTCAGGTTGACTTTTTTTCATATAGAAATATGCGTTTTCCAGATTAGCAAAGTCTTTTTGTGGCCTGATGGCTCATTTCTTTTTAACACTGAGTAATGTTTCATCGCATATATCTACCAGTGTATTCATTCATGTCCTGGAAGACATATTGCTTGCTTGTAATATGGTGAGTACAAATAGAGCTGCTGTAAATGTTCATATACAAGTTGTTGTACAGACACATTTTCAAATTGGTGTGTTAAATGTCTAGCAATGGTGTTGTTCTATCGTCTGCCAAGACTGTGTTTGTTTTGGAAGAACTGCCAAACTCTTTTCTAAGGCAGTGGTAACTTCTGTATTCCTACAAGTAATTAATGCAAGTTCCTGCCAATGGCAATCCACTTAGGCAAACAAGGTAGATAGGCAACGCCATTTTTATCACGGACATGTAAGGCTTCTCTTGCATATTTTTTCCTACCAGTATTTGCTGTAGAATGTTTTACATTTTATTTTTAAAAAATGTATTCCTTACCCAGCATCTGAGCCATTTCCACACAGTAAAGGATCTTTTTGTCCATCCAAAACATAAAAGTGACCTGTTAATATAAATAACAAACTTTATTTCATATTAATCCTATTCATATTAGGAGTAAATCAAAGTTTAATTATTTCAGTTATTTCTGAAGTATACACCAATAATGCACATTTGCAAAGGAGATTTCATATGCACCATCTCAATAGTGGTTGTAGACACATTCAGTAATTCTAAGATTAACATATGTAGCAATACTTACTGTCATCTCCGATGTAATCCTTCCAATTAAATGTGCTCATTGTTACATTAATAAATGTCCCATTTGAATCCATTGTGCCATTAAAATAGGTAGTGGTGTTGGTTTCAAAAGCAGAATTGCTTGGGGGCCATTGCAAACATTTATTCCGCAGGTTGCCCATGAACAGCTGCAGCCCAATTAAAGCAAATACGCTCAGACAGAACACAGTCAGGATCATGACATCAGAGAGCTTCTTCACGGACTGGATCAGCGCCCCCACAATGGTCTTTAAACCTAAGAAGAGAGAACTGTGTGTCAGCTAAAGAGCAGAACCATAAACTAATATTTCTTCTTAATATTTGCATACTTTCTACTTTTGCACAAATGATTGCTTGGCTATACAGATGTCAAAGCGTTATGGACAGCCAGATGAACTGTAAAACATATGAAAGGCAAACTTTATGTATGAACTGTGTGGAGATTCAAAATGAAAATTTATACACCTAGGAAAGAAGTATGGTATGGTTTTTGTGTACTGCCATAAACATGTAAAAGACAGTTACTGTAATTTCTTCCTTTCAGAATTTTGTGTTTTCTGAGGCTGTTTCCCTCCAAACCATTCTTCACACTTGCCTCCAAGTAGCAATGATTTCAAGGAGAAAAGAATGTTAAGATAATAGAAATCCCATGCCATATGCATGCCATTCCATAATAATCTTTTCTCCTATATAAAAGATCTATTTTAAAAATAGATCCACAGCAAATGGTAAAATACAAATCAGTTTGTAAAGCCATGGAAGCAGAGCTTTATCAGAATGCAAGAGAGAAAATTTTACATTGTAAATGATGGGTAAATGTTATTTTTTTTTCAATAGATGTCTCATGCAATTTTCTGTTAAACTCAAAGGCTGACTTTATATAAGCATAAAATTTCTAAAGTTTTAGAAACTGAACTGGCAGAAATATGTTTCATCATTCCTGCATATGATAAAGAATAGTAAACAAGGCTAATGCTATGCTTGTGACCTCAATCTCAACATTATTTCTGTAGTATATTTAAAGTCAGCCTCGGTGTTTAACCTAGCTCTCACCTGGAATGACTGAAATAGTTTTCAGTGCTCGGAGAACTCTGAATGTTCTCAACGCTGAGACATTGCCCAGGTCCACAAACTCTGTCACGTATCTGTAATAGGGAGTTCACACACAAACACAATAACACACAAGAAAAGTTGGAGATATAAGGGGCCTACCACCTTACACCAGTTTCTTCTTACCTGGAATTACAGAAATAGTTTTCAGAGCTCGCAAGACTCTGAAAGTTCGAAGGGCTGAAACATTGCCTAGGCTTACAAATTCTGTTACATACCTGTAGAATTAAATCAGAGTTACTGATAGTTTTGGCAAAATTCATACTAAATAAAGAATTAATGTTGGATTTGGCGAGTAGAGCCCCTTGAGTTAAACAAATGAAACCGCTATAAACCTCAGGGTGCCAAATGCTGCAAGTTGCCTTTAAAGAAAAAGTTTTCTTATCTTATTTCAATGTAACTTTCCTAATCTGAACACACTTGGTTGCAAAAATAATCAAAATACAGTTGTTATTTAAAATTTTAGTCAATCAATAACTTCATTTTGATGAATACAAAAACTATGGAACATGAAAGTAATTCCATTTATAGCTTTATTCCATTTATTCCAATATGTATTCTAATACATACTAAGTGTAGTTGATTTAATAAGTAAGGCAGGCGTATATTTAAAATATATCTTAACAGCCTAGTTTATGCTACAAATATGTTAATTTCTTTTGATTTATCAAATTTTAAAAAATTACTCACGCCATCACAATGACACTGAAATCCAGCCAGTTCCATGGATCACGAAGGAATGTAAAATCTTCTAAGCAAAATCCTCTTGCTAAGATTTTTATTAGTGACTCAAAGGTATAAATTCCAGTAAACGTATATCTAGGGAGAAGTATCCAAGCAGAATTAAATATTTCACCTGCCCTGTTAAAAACATATTTCGAAGTGTGGCACATACTGTATTTTAATTTTTATGCTCTTTTTTTAGTAACAAAGATTGAACTCATGACCTTGTGCTTGCCAAGCAATATTGCCTGAGCAATATCCCTAGTATCTACTGTTTTTTAATTTAGTTTCTAATCACCAAAAAGTATTCATTTAATTAATGGTATAAGACCAAGTTAAAGGTTAAACTGAAGTGAATATATATTCTTTAAGAATCTTTTCTAATTAAATGCAGTTTTAGAATAATAGCTTTATATATTTTGTGGATAATCATTAAGCTTTTCTCTTTAGAATAACTGTTCAATAGAAATATAATGTAAGACACAGTGTAATATTCTAGTTCCTAGAGACTAAATAAAAAGATAAGAAAAATCAACTAGACTTAATCTCATATTATATTTTATTTAAATCAGTATATACAGAACATTATTATTCCAATGATTAAAATTGCCAAATTTTAAGTTTCAATAACAATATGTAGTTATTGGCTCCTTAATTGGATCATACAACTCTAAAATGTAATATAGATTGAATTTATTTACTTAAGATAAAATATTTCCATTCACATGTCGTAATAATTAGATTCATTTTAAGACTATTTTATATGTTATTTAGAGAATATACTTCCTTTTGTTTGGGTCGATAAGTGTCAAGTATAAAGTTATAAAATGACTCCTATATCTTTCACTTTTTATGATTATATATATAAGCTATAATTTATATATAAATGCATACTTGATTTTATAAAGCTACACATACACAGTTACAAGAAATGTCTATTATTTTATGTGTGTGCCTACACAACTACTAAAATTAACAGATAAATAAAATTCTTGAATCTAACCTTGTATCAGCTACTATTTTTACACAGGGGTCAAACAGCTTAAATTTTACTTGAATTCAAATTTCAGCCTCCAAAATGGTGAAAAACATTCTGTTTGCTATAATTCAGTGTATTTCTTATCTATGTTTCTGTGAGTGTTAACAATGAAAGTTATTTGTTTCTATTTCTCTCAAAAATAGTTGAGAGTACTTGTTTTTGAATATTTTGTTCTTTAAAAATAGTTTACATTTATTTTTCAGACTACATCCTCCAAACCACAAAGCTTTGATTTAATCTTATTATAATTCATTATATTTTCCAGTGTACCAGTATTATATCTGTGAAAAAATGTCACGATAGGTATTTGTGCAGTGTTTCAACAGACAGTTCTCTCGTAAGAGTAAACAAAGAAATTAGAGGAAATTTTATTCAGAAATCTTCACATCCAATTTTCCTAAGTATGTACATCTTCTATTTTTTCCAGAAACTCAACTGGTTTCTGGGAAACAAATATCATCACTATTTTACTTATTATGAAGTACCTCACTGTTGGGAAGAGTTATATTTTACAATTCCAAGCTTATGTGTACTTAAGTTTCATCTTAGATTTTTGTGTGCTACAAGTAATCGCCATGACATTTTTGTTCAGCGAGATAGCTGGCCTTTAACAACATCTGTTCATCACATTAGGGCACAAAGCCCTACAGGCTCTGCTTAGACTATGCTATGTTGTCTACAGAGTTACGGAGAATAAGATTAAAGTCTCCTCTTCTGCTTCTATTTTTGGAAAAATAAAAACATTTGTGGGACACTTGGAGTGTATGGTTTTAGTAGCTGTGTATAAAAGAGGGTCCTAGAGCTTAAAATTTAAGCAGTTTTACACAAGACAGGTAATCGTGAATGCTTATTAGCAAACAGGACAGGAAAGTGGGAAACAAGGACTTTAATCTTCTTGACTCATCCCCTCCTTCACCCCAGGATCCTGATCATGCAGTCCCCACTGTCCATGTCAGGTTTTTTGGCCCATAATTAGGAGGACTATAAGAGATCTTGATCTCACTTTTAACATCCTTAGACCACACTAGCTATGACACTAGCTATGCGCACAGGGATTGTTTCTGGTATCCATTCCTTCTGGTTACCTCTAAGAACTGAATTATCTTTTCATTGAACTCTATTTTTCTGGCAACAACCATTAATATTTTACTTTTTTCGTCCCTGATGTCTGGTGGTAAGTTTGACAAGTAATTGATCAGAAAACTTGTGTAATGCTTTCTAATTGAAAGATGTAAATCAAAAACTTGTAAAGTCAAGTCTGTTTTCATAATGTGCATAAATTTCTACGTTGACATGGTTCTTTTCAAAGGAGATTTACATATTCATATATACCTTTACCTACCTTCAATAATTCCTGCTGGGGAGAGCACACACATAATTGTTTTGTATGGGTGTGACTGTGTTGTTAACAGCAAAATCATGCATGGTAACTGGTAACTGGTAAAATCATGAATATTAGATCATGCACAGTTTTCCCAGCATATAATGTTTTGAAACAAGGAAGGTTTTACTATCACACTTAATTTAATTTAGCAAAATTTTAATGCAGGAAATCAATAGAAATGCTTTCTTGTAGTGCAAATAAAGGGTTGATGTCCTCAAGAACCTTTGTATTTAGATCTTTTTCCCCATGTTAAAATGCATAATTAAGTTTTTTCTTCTGAAAATGCCCTCAAATACCCCTCAGTTCCCAAACAAGGGAAATAGGACGAGAAGGACTAGTTTTAAAAATTTTTAAGGACTCAGTGGCTGTGATTTTTTTTTTTAGGCACACATTTTGGAGGAATAATTGGGTATCTTTTTATTAAGATCATTATTGCTTTTAACGAGTACTCTAGTTACAAAGTTTCATAAGTTTTGAGTGATGTGCCCTAAACATGCCTTCCCTTAAGCCCTGTTATTTTTGGAGCACAGATTTTCAGAAGATATTTTATTTCCTTTACAGAACACATGCTCTGCTGGGTTTTAGCAAACATCTGATGTCCAAATGACCTACACATCTAAATTTTTACTTTAACAACTAAATATAATCATTTTGTAATCAAAAAGTCTGATATAATAATTTAGAGCTAAACATATCTCTATTTAACTAGAATATAATAGTAGCAAAATATATTAGAATAACATAATTTACTCCATCAGCACTTGTGATCTTGTGTTTACTACACCTAGTAATAAAATTTCAGGCCCAATAATGGGTTTAGTTTACCAGCAAGCATATTCTAATTCATAATTTCTCTTAAACAGATATTGTCATGAATTTGTTGGAAAAATACTTACCTCATTAAAAAAAAACCCCTACACAATTTCCTGTATAGTCTTTAATGTTATGGAAATAACTTTTCTTAGATAGAGGTGTTTAGCTTGACCTCAAAAAGTGGAAACCATAGGAAGACACAGTTACAAAGACAGTGCTAGAGAGTTTGCGTATACATTTTGTATTCTAAGAAGTATTACTACTTACTCGACATTCTTTGTCCAATCTGGAGGGTTACTCAAGGTCATAAATACGCAGTTGGTCAAAATAGTGCACATTATAAGCATGCTGAATAAAGTGGATTACAGTTAAGGAATTAACATTGGCTGGTTGTAATAGCCATTTAAAGTGATCCAATATAATAAGAAATTAATCAGCATAGCATAACTGGGAAATTAATCTTATTCATATGAAAACAATGATTTAAAAAAAGACACTTTGAAGCCTATCATATGAGTTGGTTTGCTTTTTTCACATCAGTGACTCCTAAAACTGAATTTAACCAAGATCTGTATGAAGTTAGTGGGAATTATTTTACATCCCAATTCATGTAGTGAAATCGTACCCCCAAAGAAATTTATCATTCTTTGGGTAATGCTAAACATTTGGCAATATAGCTAACAGTGACTTCGATAGACTGCTTCTTTCCAAAGAGCCATGCATGATTTAATTGAGGCTAATAAAAGTGTGCAGGGAATTTGTTCCTGCTCCTACTGTACAATATAGTGCATTTACAAATTTATTGTCATGGTTTTGCACTTACTTCTATAATCAACAATAATGCTATAATAATCTTTCTACTGTACAAATAGCAGAAAACCAATAGGAATGTCAGCTAAACCAATAATTCTACCAATAATCTCTAAAAAGGACAAATAGCTAAAAGGATAGCATTCCCTTTAAAAATCACGCTTTAAATAACATTTAGATGATTCACATGAAAAGGATATGAGTGTACTAAAATCTTAATAGCAATTTTCCTAACAGGGTTTAATGGAGTTAAAATATACAAGGCAGAGGTGGCACTGAATCGGAAAATCGCCTTCCCTTTATTCAATACTATAAAAGTCTGAAAAAGAAAATATGAGAAAAAATTATTCAGTTAGACATGTAGCTTATTTGAAGACTTGAACACATCAAGATCCTTTTTAAACCTCATTTAATTGTTCAAAGTTGTTTTTAAAATCTAGTTAGTATAGTGTAAACATGTTAGATGTGTGCTAGCAATACATTAGGTCATTTCTCCTCTAAATTAACATACAGTTACAAGTAAAAATTCAATTTACTATTATCTAGACTATCTCCAAGGCTCTAACTTGCTGATACAAACTGATATACTACACAAAGTTTTTTACTAAATTATACTGCAGCTTTACAGATTTTAGTTCTATTTAAAGCTTACCATCTGTCTTCAGCCTTAGTAACTTCAGTTTTGGTATCTGGTACACACTGCTGTTAAAATAATCTTTTACAAATATTTTAATTACATCAAATAGTTTAACTCCAAAGTTTGTAGTGGCTTGTTATTGTGTCTGAAATGGCTCTTATGATAGAAACTATTCAAGTAGGTTGAGTTGCCTGGTTTTACGGATTCCATAGACCCGGTGAGCAGGGATCAGCTTCCCAGTTAATACTGACAAGGGACATCTGCACTGAAGGTCAGCCTGAAATACATCACTTCAAAGAATCTTCCACGGCTAAATTTTTACCCTCTGAAACCTACCATGATCGACTTAGCACTAAGCCATGCTGCCAGGGTTCACCTACTGCACCTCTAGAATTGATTTTGTTTTTTTCCCACTGAAGTTATTTCTGCTTCACAATTTAACCTTCTTGTCAATCCCACCAACAAATGTCAAGCACTCAATCTGACCCTGAAAACATGTCACAGATCCTTAGAGAAAGGTAGCACCAAAGAAGTCATCATATGCAAGCTCCCTGCCATTTCAGGAAGTCTCCAGACCAGACTTGATGCTAAGGTCCCACCTACAATGACCTGTTACATATCAGAGGTTTTTACAACACCTAATATACTAGAATGATGTGTGGAGATTTTTAAATTTCTAATTTAAGCCCCATCTCAGACCAACTGAATCAAAATATTTGGAGGGTGATACAGGTTTGAGTATTTTTAGAAGTTTCCTCAGGTGATTCTGTTGTACTTTTAAAATTTTCCTGAGGCGATTCTATTATGAAATCAGGGTTTGAACCCTCCTTCCTGGAGATGCTCTTAACAGTCAAAATGATCTCCTGCTTTGCATACCTGTGCTATCTTTTGATCACTTTCTAAATGTTTCCCTTACCACTAACTCTTAATACATTCATTTGCACTCTTTTACAGGTTGCTTGTAATCAGTCAAGTAGTAATTTCCACAGAGGGTCCATTCCAAGCAGGATGGGAAAGATGTAATAAACCACCGAGCACACAGAAGAACCTGCAGTCTACTTCTCCATTTTGCCCCTAGTATTTAATACTGTGGTTTGCAAAAAGAAAAAAAAAACACTTGTTTTAATTAAATAGTGGCTTGCCATTAAGATTCTGTTCTACTTTTTAGCATCTATTCTATATATTGATTTATTTAATAATATGTTTTTACCCTTTAACTAAGAGTGGTATCTCATACCTTCATGTTCACTGACAACATGCTTTGTTTGAAGAGATAGGCAGAAATATTTATGCTGTGAGTATAAAGGCCAGGTAAAACAAATGTTTTGTGTATCACCCTTTTGTATTTAAGACCACAGAGCCAGTCATTACTTAACTAACCATATTCAATAAACTGCAATTTATAAATTAAAGAAAGAGGCTAAGTAAACTATCTTTTACTAATAGAAGGATTATCTGGAAGGGACAGTAGACCTCGGGAAGACTGCCTTGGAAGTGCAGAAGCATTAAAAGATTGTCGACTTATGGAATTAGATCATTTAATGTTGCAGTCAGGCAATTAACACATTCAACAGTGGTAGTATGTTGTAAAAGTTCACTATAGTTTAAGGTTAATTAACAGGTTTTGTTGGGAAAAATTTCTCTGAAAAATAAGTTTTACAATATGGGGAGAGAATTTCAAAATATATCCAAAACCACAGTGAGCGGGGTTGAAGGGTCCCTTTAAACATGGAACCCTGTGTCCTTCTTGCAGGCTAGCCTGCACAGAACTAGTGGAATCGAAGTTCATGTCCTAATGAGATTGTCTTGATCAAGTTTACCAGTTCTGAAACAGGGAAGGCCTTAATGACAAAATGCCAGTTTATTTCTAGAGAATAATATTTAACACAAGAGAAAATCCTGTGATGAGAAATGAGGAATAAAATACACACGTCTTGTATAGTGCAAGAACTATAAGACAGAGGTTAGAAATTTGGAGCTCTGATGTTCTTGATGTATTTCAACCAAAAATTACTTAAGAACATGATAGATAAATAGTGCCATTTTTCAAGCAAATTCCTAGTTAATGGTGTCTCTTTAAAAATTAGGACATGTTACTACTAACGTTATAAATACTATAGTTGAAAATATGTTGCAGCAGATATTTTTTACTCTGGAATCCAATTTGCTTTTTTTCCCCCAGTAAATTGCACACATTATGAGTTTGCTAAAATTTTTGCTTTGAAATGAGAATAAGCTTCATGTGTTAATGATAGGACCATATCAATCACAGAAATAAAAAAATTTACACAACTGAATTTTAAGTCTTTTGTTATATTAATAAGCACTATATACAGTTTCACTTTCTGGTTAAGAACTCTGGTTCCACAGCTGAGTTATTTAGGTTCGTTTCCTGAATCTACCAGTTATGAAGCAAGATTCTGCTAATTTTATCAGCTTTTCTCAACTCCTATCCATAAAGTGAGGCTAACAATAGTAATTGCCTCACTGGTTTACTGAATAGTAAATAAGCTGAAACACTCAAGTGGTGTCCAACACTGTATGAGCATAGCAAATGTTAGCTATTATTATCACTGGGACTATGTTTAAATTATTACCCAGGTCCACTGTCATTATTTTGAAATAATTTTTCTGGTCACCCTAAAAGTGATTACTATGTAGTGTGATGTTATTCATCTGGTTAAATTAGGTAGTTTGATCTATTACCAATTTAATAGAAAGTTACATTAAGCTGCTCTGTACCTATCCATCATCTATTTCCTATCTATCTAGGATTTCACTAAGTAGCCCAGGCTGCCCACGAACTAACTCTGTAACCCAGGATGGCTTTGAATTTGCAATCCTCCTGCCTCCCAGTCCAGGGATTATAGGTGTGGACACCATGCCTGACTAAGCCCTACAGTTTTAAAATGCCTTTTACCCATGTCATTGCATACAATTAACATAGGTCATGCCACATTTTAGAATTATATAGCTTCTTTCATTATCCTCTTCCAAAACTCCTAAAAATCACAAGCAGCACAGGTAGCACCTTGATAGTCACCCATATAAATACTTTGTGAATTAAAATACTACAGCTAACAGCCTCTCAAGATGATTCACACAGCTGTGAATAAATCTTGGTCTAAGTCCGGTACTCATTCCTGAGATAATAAAATGGACTATGCCAGCACACAGTGGAAGAATCACATTAACCAAACTTAAAAGCCTGACACATAAAATCAGATGCCAATCTATTTACAATGGGACACATTATTTTTGTATATTATACATTAAATAACTACAATGACATAACCAGTATATTCTTGCCATTTAGTAGATGTATGAGAAGACAAATTATAAGCAGAGGTTTCCTTGTTATACATATAGTCCAAACCATAGTCCAATTGACTTAATAAAATGTTACAGAATTTTTATTGTCATGTTAGGCAGCCTGTGTCAGTCCCTTTATAATGAAGTGCCCATACCACTGGGAAGAAATGTTTAGTAGTAGTCCTACTACTAAAGATATGTCTCTCTTGCATTATGTGTGTCTTATGTGTGTCTATTACTCTTTCCAAAATTGTACCAAGTGATTCATTTCCTTTTCTTTAAATAATAAATGTTTTTAATTATGTCAGAAGAAATCATACTCTTCTCTCTTGAAGACATCAGCAAGCATCCATATTGTAGATCAATAATTCTCAGAATAGAATGCCTTTCTACTTTCTTAGTTTCTAGTCACATTAAAAATCATCATCTATAGTAATATAGTAGCTAAACTTCAAAACAATTAATTCTGTAGTATAGGATGGAAATAAATTTTATTTTTAAGTGCATGAATATATATTTAACGCACATTTTGTGAAACTAGTTTAAAAGGAATAAAAGGAACCTGTTTAACTGTTTCAAATTGTTTTCATGACTTCAAGTAAGTAAAACATTTTAAAAGATTGCTACTCAAAGTGTGGCCCATATTCTACTCATAGGATGGGTATAATCTAATGATCATTGTAAGAAACTCAGGATGTCTTGGTCTGCATGTATTATGGTGGTACAAGTCTATAACCCTAGCAACTTAGGAGGCTGAAGCAAAAGGATAGTGAGTTAGATATTGTCCTGAGACCCTGTCACAGAATAAAACTCTAAAGGGAATTGTGGGTACGGTACTTATGTGTTTTCTCTCCAACACTGCAAAAAGAAATCTGGTCACAACCCAGACTAGTGCAATCATAATCAACATTTTAATAGCATTTTCAGATGATTTACACAGGCAAGTTTGAGTAATATTCCTTTAAAGCAACAGGAGTGATCCGATTCTGAATGGTTAGTGCCATTTCCTTTAGTTAGCACTTACAACTTCAAATTGTGCATTCTTTGAATGTATTTTCTTCAACCATTCCCTTTTTAAACAGTTTGCTTTGATTAACCAAAGTGTTCATTATCTTATTTAACCCATAAGCCATCAATTCATAATGATATTAATTTATCTTTATTTTTATTTTGAATTATTTTTAATACTGACAAAGGAAAAATGTAAACTGTGGTAATAAAATGACAAAAGAGTCAATTAGAGAGTATGACATCTTCATTCACCTTGTTTGCCCTTTGAAAATGGTTAATTCTGACAGAACAATCTGGTTACTTTAACATTAGAAAAACATAGTTATAACTGTTGCTTTGAACCATGTATAGATGGAGAACAATTGAAAGTAGTTCTTGTTTTGTTCTGATTTTTTTGTTTTTAAAGCTTTCTAATCTTGACATTTGTTTCACTGCAGAGAAATGTTCTAACCACATATGGTTGTTCAGAATCTAGCCTGCCATAATGTCAGTAAGATTAAGAGAATCTCATAATCTCATTCCAAATTAGTGGATAGAAAGTAAAATGTATTTCTGATTGAACACCATTCCGCATGTACTATTTGCCTATGATAGGGTGTTAAGTCAAAAATTAGTTATTGGCTTCCACACTATAGATGATTGTGAAGAAAGTCCAAGCCAAATAAGAAATATAAAAGCAAGAAGTACAGTATTTTCTTACAATGCTGTTGTTGTATTAAATTTGGATATGCACCTGCCTGTAAGCCAGTGGCAGCCATGTGGGCTAGGAAAACCATGAAGTTAACCCATCTCCTCCCATGAGCCAACCAGCATGCGGATTGGTAGACAAGAAGACCATCCTCCCCAAGCAATTGGTTAATTCAGAGGAATGCAGGCTGAGATGATAGCAACTGAAGTAAAAAGTAATTTAATGCTTGCATTGTTTGATTTTGCAGGCCTAAAGTCACTAGTGTGAGCATCTATTCAAAGGATAACAATATGCAATATAGCAACAATAGGGGGTTTTCTCCTGTCTTGTTTTTGAAATCTAATACTGTCCTCACTGTTTTGTTTTGTTCCATTTTGTTGTTTTGTTTTATTCCTTTTAAAATAAAAAAATTGGGTTTTTTTGCATAGCTACTATTTGGGAGTCGATCATGTGCTAAATAGCAATAATTAGCTTTATTGATGTCAACTTCAAGTTTTGTTATTTCAATTACTGTGAAATAGAAATTGTTAATTCATTCATATTTCCTCCCTAAAATAAGTTCTTCATGCTGTAAATGTTTCAGTTTACTATAATTTATATAAAACTAAGTGACAGTAAAGGGTATTATAAACTATTTCACAGGAAAATTCTGGAGATATATCTATATATACATATATTTATCAAGTGGTACCTCTGTTGTTGAACTCAATTTGTTTCAAATTTATGTTTAAACACTGAAAACTTTGAGAAATTAACATGCTTTTCCCTAAGAAATAACGAAAAACTGAATAATTGATCCTGAGGCCCCATAATTACCTTTATAAATTCATTTTTTCAGAACTTTAACAAATTTTACAATGATTTCCTTCTTCTCTCTATTATGGTTTGCACAGTTTTCCTCTTAGCTTTATTGTTGGTACCATTCACTTTCCTTAGAGCCATAGTTACAATATGCTACACAAATAAAGCACAAAAAGGCACACTCACGACTGTTCTAAAGCACTAACACAGCACTATGTGTTATTTGGGCGAATGCAGTGCTTAGACCAAAGTGCTACCATTTGTGACACAAGTCTTACCTTTGGCCAATATAGGTTTTTTCATGTCAGATTTTCTATCTGATTGTCCAGCAAAGAACACAAAAGAGATTTTTTTTTTTGAACTTTGCTGTTGAAGTAGTAGAAATTTCAAACTGGGAGCTGTTCCACAACTGAAGTATCATTTTATATCACTCTATTACTATATCAGCAGAAGCTATTAAAGTTAGTAGTTTAATCGAAGATTTATTGGAGGTGTAAAGTCAACACTCACTTTTTTGTTGATATAGTAGGGGTCCAGGTCCTCCAAGGGCTCTGACACCATCTCTGGAGGAATGTCTCCATAAATAAATGGAAGGTTCTTTCCAGCTTCCAAGTCACTGTTTGGCTTTGGTTTGTTCTCATCATCATCTTGTTCTTTTTTGGGTTTCTTGGCTTTCTCTTCTGCAGCACGTTTTTCGATAGCAGCAAGAGATTCTCTAGTAAAAAGGCGGAAGCTTTCAGGTCCTGGGGGTACCAGCAGTGCCTGTGCCATCTTTTCATCCTGCACATTTAATTACGTTTAGCTTCTTGCATAAGAATTATCTACAGTAAGTAAAAAAAATGCATAAGCATGAGCAAGGCATGTGACAGAAGAGAATAAAAAAATCTATCAGGATGCCATCTACTCATCTTTAGTAATTTTTAAAGCTATGAATATGAAGCTTTAACAGCTTTTAATTCAGAAACATCATTTGATCTAATTTTTAATAATTCTTTATAAATCAGCCAAAGTTCTGTTCTGAGTATTAAATTCTTGATTTAGCCATTTTACAATGTGTTGGTATATTAAAATATTGCATTTTATGCAATAAATATTTACAATGTGATTAATTAAAATGTAAAAGACGGTAGTCTTCTCTGAAACTTTTGAGCTAAAAGGTATGATAGTATATTTTTGGTAAAAGAATTATGCTAATATTACTTATCAGTAAAATTGACTATGAGCCATTCATTATTCCCTTCTCCCCTTTTTCCCCCATAATTTAACTAACTCCTCAAAGTGAAGTGCTCTTAACAATGAAATTATTGTGATACATTCCTGACTCAAAAAATCTCAGGCTAGAAAAACAACTTTTGCCTAACCCAGTTGTTCTGGTTGTCACTATCAACGGAAGCACCACAAAAAGTCTCAACGTCAGCAACGACAAGGAAACCACTGCCTCTAGCAACATGTATCCATCTTTGGGTAGGAGTTTCTTTTTCTTATTAGGTCAAATTTTTCCCTTTTTGACTTTTCACGGTGGAACCTTTGGAGGCACCTTCTCAGGTAACATGGAATATGCTTATTTCCTGTTCCAGTTTGCTGTCCTTCACCTCTTCCATGATAATTTTTAATTTTCTTCCTAAATCTTCCCATCGGAGCAGTCGTTAACACAAAGGACTGTGTGATTAGATATCCTCCACTCTAAACCCTGGCTCTGCCACTTATGGATGTGGAACCTTGGAAAATATAACCCCACATTGCTACATTCTTTATGAAATGAGAATCACAGGAAAAATTGACCTCTCAGGATTACAAAGAATAAATGAGTTAATTGATGTTGTGTCTAGGATAGTTTTGGAATTAATAAGGACTGTATTAGCATCAACTATCATAATCAAATTATCTTCAGTTCTGCCAACCATGATCCTTCTGTTATGGTTTCAAGTATCCCATTAATTCAAACCGTTTTCCTTTAAGTGAGATCTTGATATGGTGGAACCATAACTGATCTTGAAGCTTCAGGAAGGCAGTAAGAGGTATAAAATATCAGGGCACATTCATGCAAAACTGTCACCTGGCTGGGAGGGGAAAGAGTGAAGGCAGACAGATGGAGGGCCTCTACTCAATTTTCCAGGGAAGGGGAAAACTATCTGCAGGAAATGTTACAGAACTATAAAAAATACAGGAAATCAGATACTTGAATGTTGAAACATGAGTAACAGTTATTGTATTTTCCATTATGCGTAACACACATTTTAAAAAACAGATAGAAAATAGAAACAATGAGAACAACAAAATATGATGAGTACATCAGTCATCCTGTAAGAGCATCTATAACTATGGCAATCATCAAAGCAATCATCAAAAATATTGTGACATTGTTTCCGTCCCCAGCCACACCTCCTTCAGTCCCCTAATTTAGTCTATGTTCCACAGTAGCTTTACCCTAAGTAGTCTCCTAGTTCTCAGCAGTTCACTGCATGTATATCCTGAGCTTATAGATGAGAAACTCTGTCTCTTTCAGTAATATGAAAAAAAAAAAAAAGCGTATAGTCAATTATGTGTTTCTTGAGTTTACACCTGAATTACTAGTTCTCTGATGTGTTCCAATGACAAAAGTGTTTTAAAATAGTTGAGTCTTCAAATTAGTATTTGTATCAGTGTCACTCTATAGTACCAGACCTATCAAATAGTTACACCCTTTTTTCTGCGCATTTTTAAAGAGAATTCATGTTTTGTGATTCTAGTTTTTATTTTTTTAAAAAACTCTCTCCTTATCAAGTGATACATGAATTAGAAGACCTGTATACAATTCTATTTTACTCAAAAATCAATAATTTATCTTTTTTGCTTTTGAATTAAGGTCAGGCAGCTTAAAGTTTAATGTCCACAGTCATTTCATGTCAATTTTGATGGCCATATGGACAGTCTGATGAGGTTGTGTAGTTTTGAGTGCAGAAAGAGCAGAAGCATTTTCTGCAAGCCTCAAATACCCAGAGACAAGTGAGGCACCTGTCTCAGATCACCTGTCACGGACTGAATTGCTGGGTTCTTCCCAAGTGCTAAATGAGGAAGCCACAGCATGCAAATATGTCTTATGAAAATGCCCTGAAACATGGCTGCTTTTTAGCAGTAAAGAGTGGTTACTTTTCTATTTGAGCACTTAGTTTAATTTACATTAGCCCGTTTATTAACTAATAAATTTTAAAAAGTGCTTAAATTGGAATGGAAAATGTAGGTTAGCATAGAATCTGCAGCCAAGAGCTTTCCCGTGTCATTTAACCTTGCAAACTTCACGTTTTCAAACTACTTCCTCATGTAGGGAATAAGACTCTCTCATAGAGACTTCTGGATCTTAAGTTTTCCAAATAAAATTAAATTCAAAATATTAAATTTGGAAATCTCTCAATAATCTTCAGAGATTATTGTGATTTCTTTAAATTGATGTTGACAGATGTGGTAACAAAACTGCAAAGATTGATTTGCAAACTAATAAACATCTACCTTATTTATTTATGAATGGTCAGAATAAAAAATTTGGTTCTGGACAAAAAGGATGGAGCTAGGTGTGGCAGCACACACCTATAAGTCCAGTTCTTGGGAGACTGAGGCAGGAGGAACAGCAAGTGTGGGCTGCATAGTAAGTTTATAGTAAGTTCAAGGTTAACCAGAACAGCACAGTGAGACCCTGCTCAAAAAAAGTAAATACATAAAAATAAAAAGAAGGCAAAAGTCTCCGAAATTCTCATATTGTGTCTCTAACTCCAGAAAAGATAAGTCAACTTCAGATTCTCAAATTTTTCCTTAGGAGGGCAACTAGGGCTTGTTAAATGTTTGGATAAATAGAGAATTTAAAGACTCTAGTAAGCAGAGTTGCCCACAGCTTTACCTATAGCTTTGTAGTTTCAAAGTCTCTCATAGTGCTTTGATAAGTCTCTTAATTTGTTTCTCTTTTTTATTCTTTGTGAGCTTATTATACAAAACTCTTGTATAATTTTATATTTACATTAAGCAGACTTAAAAATTCTTTCTGGTGCTTTGGTAAGGAACATAGATTGTTAATGAATATATGTACATTATAATTTATTAAAGTACATTGGATTTAGTGTTATAAATTTTTACCAGAACTAGTTTTTCAAGAACAAAAAACTAAAAGGGGAAATAATCTGAGGAGATATTCCTTTTGATTAGAATCCAAAGAGTTTGTGTATGTGAATGTGTGCAAGCAAAGAAAATACAATTATTTTTTTAATAATTAAGAAGACTGGTTCAATGCAGTCTATTACAGAAACAGACCATAGAATATCAAACTTGGAAGGAACCTGAAGATCATTTATTTGGGAATATTTATTGGATCTACTATGTATGAATAATTCAGATTCCTTTATACTCATAAGATTACCCATGAATGCAACAAAAGTAATTTTCTCTCCAAGTAATAATAAAAATTACTTGATTCCATCAAGATTCTGCAACTGATAGTTTATTAAAATAGTTTAAATGAGGAATCCGAAACCACATCCAATAATCTTTGATCAATCTTGGCTTTGAATGCATAATTCTGTACCATTACATACAGATCATTTGAAAATACAATAGTGTTATGCAAATATTCACATTTTGGACAAGTTTTATTATGTAAGATGCAAAAAGTCACATTTGTTAATACCTTTGGCAATGCCATGAGGATGTATTGGGAGGCTGTCAAGCTTCCAGTGGCAGGTGAAAGTTTCCAAAATTCCAATTTCTACCTGAAAGCTCCAATTTTTAACACTGACAACTAATGCTGTCATTTGCTTTTCCTGAAGTGACAAGATTTTTCTTTGCTCACTTTGGAGACTATATATGCCAAATACTAAAGTCTGAATAACCATACTTTGTCAGTTATCTTTCAGGTGAAAATAGTGTTCTATGGAAAAAAAGTGACTTATTCACTCCTGATCTCAACAGCTACACAATTGCTTTGGCTATTCAGCATGCATCAGAAATTCTTCATGTATTCTCCTCATTTTATTGTAGAAAATACTAAAATATGTATTTTTAGGGTTGATATTTAACAAAATTATTATTTACCTATTTACTAGAGATTTGTTATATGAACAGGCATTTATTTTCTTACTGTAATACATGTTAGTGAAGAAGAGAAACCCTACTTTTACAAACTCTTTTGATTCCTGCTGAGACACTGTACATTATACCCCCTTAACTACTGCACTGTCATTGCAAATGTCAAAAGAATGAGAAAAGACAAATGGCATCCTGATATTAGTATGAAAATAGTTTAAAACACAGCTGTCTCCCAAGAGAGGTTGCAAGGCCTCAGTTGTCTAAGATGTACAATAAATGCTGGAGAAGAAAGTAGTTGGTATACAAGAGAGGAGATAATTACAGCTTCAGGGCTAATTGGCATGGACTCAGCAATTGGAACCGGACTCAAGCCTGGTTTGCTTTATTTTACAAGTTTCTTTATGCTTTCTAGTCCCCAGTTTCCCTAGCTCTGTAATGGAGATATTCATGTCTATGCTAGCACATAGTTTGTAATATAAATGTAACACTTAAATGAGAAAATGCACCTAAAATGTGAGCATAATGCCTGGAAGACTGGAGGCCATCAATAAATTAGGCAGGAAAGCGATGGCCAAACATATGTATTTGAGGTACAGTTGTGGTAAACAGAAAATCAATGAGAGTTGTGTGGTTGTCTTGATTCAAAGAATGAAAAAGGCACAGTGGTAAGGCCATTCCAGATTTCCATCTTAAGCCCCAAGTTAATATTAACCCAATGGAGAATCAGAGGTCTGTAAGGGTTTATAATAAATTCTGTTTGGGACCTGATTACTTTACAATGCCTGGGGTCATCTAGATGTAATTAAAATGTGTCACTGAGGCTTAGGAAGGCCATCTGAGCTGCAGAAATGTTGATTAATGGGTTATGAGATGAAGCAGAGGCTAAGAATCTATATGATCTCATCTAGGAAAAAAGTAGAAAGGTGTAGATGCAGAACTCATATGGCTTCTGATTTTAAGGAGAGCAAACATAGAAGATGTTAGACAGTGACACCAGTATGGTTTCCTGGACACTGAGAGAGCATTTTTCAAAATGTTAATTAAAAGGCATATATTGGACCTGGCAACTTGTTAGGCTCTTTGCCTTTGACATAAATGAGGAGCTGGCCTAACAAGCTAAATAATTTCCACTGAAATGTCTGCTGACAAACACAAAATCATAGGTTTAAGTCAAAATATTTTCTGTACAATAACTTTTCCTATCACTGATATTCTTAAGAAATCTTACTAGTGTATGGTTTGATTTTAAAGGCCAATATTGTATATACATAACTAATGATGAATACATTTGTATAGTTTAATTTGGTTTTACAGGTTCAGTCTGATATGATGCTTTCATATGCATCTAAAAGTATATGAAATCAACAAATACAGTGAGTACAAGCATCTGTCAATAAATCAGAATCTAAGAAAAAGCGGTATAGCAAATATTAGTGACCTGCTATAGCACTACCAAAGCAAAACGTATTATTTTTCTCATTAGTCATGTGGCACATAGGTTTCATCTTACCTACTTTTCCAGGGTAGTGGACAATTTGATAGATTTTATTGCTCCATAACCAGTTAGCAGTCTCCCTCTCCCCTCTCCCCAGTTTTTATGATTATGTTGCAGACAAAATCGATTGGTTCAGGTCTGTTCCCATGGAAACCATTTTATGTCAGAAAGCTATAAATTTGCTATCTTCAAGGACAGCAAGTTGCTCTATTTCAAACGACATGAGTTATCAAAAAATTCAGAGTATATTTCCACATCTTTGACTATTAGAGTTATAAGGAAGTACTGGGTATATTGCAAAATAAAAAAAGGATGCAGTTTACTTGGTATCAACAGAAGAAGAGAAAAAAAGAAAAAATTACTTTTATAGAAAGTGTACAATCTAAAAGACAAGATATACAAATTACTACCCTCTTACCAAAGAAAATTATTTATTATTTCCAACATGATATTAATTTAGAATTAATAATTAGCAATTATAATGTATTTTCAACACAAGTGAGAACAACATAAATTGTATTAAAACATAGTTATAGCCTTCAGAATATTACAATGACAATCATTGGGCACACCTCAAGGTAGACTTAAACACTACTTTCCATATTTCATGAATTTTGAAATAATGTCTGTTTGGTGTGCCTTAACTGAATGGCTTTGAAGACCAAATAATAGTAAAATTCTACTAAATCATTATTGTCTCAGATACTCCAATGTAATTAATTCATATTATTCATATTAGCTCATTTAACTATTAAAATAATTGTATGAAGTTGGTATTATTTTCCCCACTTTACTGATGAAAAATCATAGGAGAAAGGAGGTTATACAACTGGTACAATTTACAAAATTAGATTAATAATCTGTAGCATGAGGATTTAAATGGGTAATTTAGTGAGAAAAAGCTGGGCTTTTAAAATTACACAATGGGAAGATTCTTAGTTGATGTATGATGAAATGGAATTAGAATAAATCACTTATTGGGAGGTTACTACCTAGAGAGATTACTGCATTCTGTATCAGAAATGGAGTGGCCATATTACAAAATATGGTAATGTGACCCTCACTTTTATTTTAACGTTAAAGCAAGCAAGAATGAATTAATACAAGCATGAATCAAAGTCTTATCAGTGCATATTCATAGGTATGTTATGCATTTTGGAGCAATTTAAAGGTAAATTAAAAAATTAGCCCAACATTTTTATAATCCATACTGTACCCCTTACTGTCAGCGTGTTCTCAAGGAGGTCATCACCACTATTAGTCTGAAAGTAATTCTATGGCAGATAAATCACTACGTCATGACCAAATACAAATGAAACCTACATTTGCTTTATTATTATTCCCTTCCTATTAGCTAAATGCATGATTGTCAACATAGATATTATTTTATATTTAACAAAGTTTTTACACATTTCTGTATTTCCTGAACTCATATCATGCTTTGGAAAATAAACAGCAGGGACAAGCAAGCAAAAGTTTATCTCTGTCTGCAGAACAATTATTTTGGATATGTTTTCTATGACTTTGTCCTTATTGGATAGCTATAAGCTTGAGGAGACAACTGTTAGCTAATGACAACAATTAAGCCAGCCCTATAATAATGAACTCAGGGGCTGGGGATTTAGCTCAGCGGCAGAAGCGCCTGCCTTGCAAGCAGGCAGTCATGAGTTCAATCCCTGGTACCGATAAAAATGAAAAAGACAAAAAAAAAAAAAAAAAGAAAGAAAGAAATCAGTATCACTGGCTTTATTGGCTCTTACATTTTCTACTGTATATTTGAAAAGTGAAGTAAATCATGTGTTGGAGTTCCCAACATGCATTCCTCTCTGCATAGCCCCTCCAAGTCCCTTACAGTTAGTGTTAAAGGCATAAATATACAATTCTGGCCAAATAAAAGTGAAGGGAAACCTGCCAAGTGGATGTTTGTAAAAGGTTTCCTCACTCCTTTGGAAAAAAAAATGAGGGACTATAGCATTCCCTGGCCTCCAGAGCCTTTTGTACTGGGATGTGATATACTGCTGTCCTGTAAGCAAATTCACCATCAGAATGGATGCCAGTCAGTGGCTGACACACTGAGTGTGGCAGATCACAGAGACGTATTTACCCCTGGGCCCTAGATGGATCGCTCAGTTCTTGGACCCAAACAACCTCTGCACTGCTTGTTATGTTTAATAAACATCCTTCCTGACTATGATACTTGTAGACAGGTTTTTTTTTTTTAGTTAGTTGCAGCTGATATACCAAATAAATAAGTAGTTTCTGTCAGTTTCAAAACTTGGCAGCCAGTTCTAAAGCCGGTTCATAGCCAAATACTAATGACATATCTGTATGTCCTTTACTTAATAAGAACAGGTGAGCTGTGGATCCTATTACTCAATAAACAATAAAATTAAAGCAAATACAGTCCTAGGTAATTTATTAAATACACAAAATGAATGTACCTCTTAAAAGAAAAATAACTAAAAATCTGGGTTAATCGTCTGTCTTACATCAGTAGCTTTTGGCATTATTCCATCCTCCAAGGTCATCTCTGCCATGTCTCCATCTATTTGTTTACCTCTTTGGAGGAACAAAGGGATTTGGGAGGAAAATCATTTTTGTTTTCTTTCTGTACTGGCACAGCTGTCCTTGTTAGCAAATAGAAATGTTAGTTCCCAAATACAAGTTTATACCCGCGTAACAGGTCTCAGGTACCTTTGATAGTCACAGCACCTTTTTTCAGAAAAGCTCCAGGCCCCTTCTGGGATTAGTTCATCTATTCTTATAATATCCCTAGAAGAGGTTCTGTGGTCCTTTTCCAGTAAGCCACTCTGCCATGAATCCTTGACAAGTATCTCATTGCAGAATAAATCGTAATGTGGCTTGGCTTCAGCTTTCTTGCTCCATGATCTGTGGAAAAAGAGAACACAGTTAAGGAGATCCCACACCTTCAGCATTTACAAGGCAGAGGGGCGCTGGCTCTGGATCTTATTTTTGGAACTTTGTTTACTTGGTAAAGAAAGCAGGATATGTGAGCCTTCTAAGCAGCCTGGCCTGGTGTGTTCTAGGAAGGGTGTGGCCAGGATTCTGGGGTCTGCAGGGGACTCTGTTCCCTCTTTGGCTGCTTAGATTCATTTACTTAAAGACACGCCGGCACTCTAGAGCACATTTCTGTTCTTTACCTCCTTTTCCTCATCTCCTGTCCCCTCTTTGCTCCTTATCCTTGTCTTCTTTCTCTCAAGTACTTCAAGGCACAAAGAGCTAGACCGGCCGAGCACGTGGGCTACTTTGCTGCTGTGGCTCACTATTCTAGCTCCTTACCCAGTCTTTTTCCTGTCCACCGAAAGCCAAGATCAATTGGCTTAGTAAGATAAGACAAATAAATCTTATTCAATGGCTTCTAAAAGTAGATTTTAAACAAGCATGCTAAGCCAAAGCACAATATTAGCCTAGATATAACAATCTGATGGCCTTCCCTTTCAGCTGTATCCATTACTAAAGGCTTAATACAACTAAAAAAAATAAAGTTTATTTCAAGGGACAAAATCAGCAATTGAAACTTAAAACAATATTTATTTCAATTCACCTGTACAGTGCCCACAAGCCGAACTGACTCTGTATTCCCAACAACAAATCTCTTTTTATCATTTGCTCTGACAAAAAAATATTAAATCTCACTTAAAAATTGTTTGCCTAGTATATTAAAACCTGTCTCCAGACGAACTTCCTCCAAAACCACCAGTCTGTTTTCTAATCTGTTATCAGATACAACAGTATTATTAAAACTTGTCAATGTCTCTTGGTGACTTAGATGTCACACTAGGAAAAAGTGACAGTGCTTTTCTCCTCTGGCCTCTGCTCCCTCTCCTACTCTCAGGGACTGGCATCACACACACAGTTCTGCTTTCACTGGCTGCATGATGTCAACATACTTAACCAATCCAGTTTTTAGTTTCTCATATGTTGATGGGATCTATCCAGCAAAATAGACAAGTTTTGAAAATTAAATGTTTCAAAATTGCCTACATGTATGTGCATATATAGTTAGACACATGTTTGTGAATTTATGTATACTAGTTGACATAAAGTAAGTTTTCCACAAAACTGAAAGTTATAATAGTATAAAAGTACTGTAATTATTTCTGTAAAATGACAATAACACAATAATAATAATAATAGTACTGATCTGTTATATATTGGATCTAGAAAGGCCCCAAGGACTTATTTGTTGAAGGCTTGGTTACCAGCCCATAGTGCCATTGCAAAGCAGCAGAACCTAAAGGCCCGCTCAGTTTCACCTAAGAAGTGAGTCAGGTCCCTGAGGATGTCTCCTTGAAGGGAATACTCAGGCCCTCTTTCCTCTTCTGCTCTGTATGTTTCCTGGCTGCAGTGAAATTAATGAGCCTTCACCATGTGCTATTGCCACCATGTACTCAGTCCTGCCACACCCCCAAATAATAAAGCCAAATGAAGGTGGACTGATACTGTGAAACCGTGATCTAAACTATACCTTCCCTCCTTTTAACATGATTCTCTCTGGTATTTTGTTACCCTAAAGGAAATTTAATATCAGACAGACCCATGCATTAGAGATCGATTATTAGATTGTTAAGTGTATTCAATAAGGGTTAGTGTCCTTTACTTCTTTGCAACACATTCATTAAACATTACTTCCGTTGGCATCACAGCATGGAAATTACTAGATTTTAAGTACTGTGTCATCCAGCTTGGCACTAACAAGAATGACCAAGATATCAGGTTAGCTGCATTTCCTGAGAGGTTCTCCTTACGGATACTGAGGTGGATGATGTAGTCAGGTCTGATGGCAAAAAAGAAATAAGAAGTTAGGGAGGAACAGGAGAGTGGTTACTGAGAAAGCAGCACTAAAACTTATTTTCTCAAGGTCTCTTTCTTCTCTCCGTTCTTAAGAACATCATTGATTTAAAGATTTGAAATAATCACTTTATGATTCAGGTTTCAAGTAAGAGAAACTTCTAGTAAGTCTCCCCTTCCCACTGGAAAGAATCTTGAGTTCTGTATGTAGCTTCAGAAAAAGCAGTCCTCATGCTCCAAGCTGCATTATATCTTAATAAAGTATCTGTCTCATCTTTCAAAGTAGGTCATGCCTTATAGAGTAACTGAAATATAAATTAGATTCTTTAATCCCATTTTAAACTTCAACATAAGAATTACTTTGGCTCTTTGCTAAAGATTTCTAAGGAAGGTCTGGGCAGGGTCCGCGGAGTGTACTAGTGAATTTGGTGCACATGGTACATGGACTACAATTTGAGAAATGTAATCACAAGGAAAAGAGTAGAGATTACGATGAACAAGAGGAACAGCTATTTTGGAGAAAACAAGACAAAATAATAGCTAGTGCTAATTTAGTATCATCTTGTTTTGAAGTCCCATCAAGCTTTTGTTCTTCTGTCTCCAATGGTCTTAACATGTTGTATCTTATTGGATTTTATTATATGTGATAGTATAAACAAAAACTTTTATGGACAAGGAGATTATACAGAAATGATTGTTCATTTTCTGTTATTTGATTTTAAATACCCTCTAATCCTGTCATTCTCTTGAATGGTTTTACAATGTCTTGATATGTTTGATGCTACAGTATACGAAGTTATACTCAAAGATTTCAAGGAAAGAGACACTACGGTAACTACTTTTATGTTGGGATATCTTGTGGTAAAACACTATTTTGCTTAAATGGTTATGTTTTGACCTGTGCTGTTTTGTTGTTATGTCCTATTTTATCTCAATCTCCTTTTTTTATTATTTACTATTTTATCTTTTTAATTAAGGGAAAATAAATAAAAATAGCAGGATATATTATAGGAACCCACTTTGATTTCCTATTAACTTAATTTGAAACCCTGTATTGTTCTCACCATCTTGTTTTGACTGATGTCCCCCTATTCTGTTTTGCTTGATAGTACCAAGTTGGAAAGTAGAGGCAACGACTGTGAAGACAGTAAGATTCATTATGACGCCCATTCTGGTTGACTATTATCTTCTTATGAAGTCCTGTAATGTCTCCAATGTTTTGGTTTTATTAGTTTTGTTCTTTACTGTTTTGTTCAATTTTATTATAGCTAATGATATAGGCAATTCTTTTTAAGATAGCAAGAGGCAATATGGTAACCATTGTTGATCACCTTGTATTTTGTTTTTACATTATGTATTATGTCCACCCTTTTGATTTGACTGACTCTGTTCTGCTATGTCACATTTGGTTTTACTCTCTTCAAAAAAAAGTAATAAGAACTGTGGGAGTAATAAAACCCAAAATGTGTAATTGTCATTGTACAAAAGAGAGGAAAAGAAAGTGCTCTAAAGGATATAACTGCATGTATATTTAAGTGTATAAGATAGATAACCATATTACTGAGTTTTATTGGAGCATTGAACAGAATTGTTTGCAATCTCACTGATTGAAAGTCCACTTTATATGATTTAATATTGTAACTTGAACAATTTCTAAGATGACATTATGTAATCTATTAACTAGTGATTTCCTACTGTTTATTTTTTCTGAAATTCTATATAACTTGCACCCTTTTTCCATTTTTTCTTTTTCTCCTTAAATGAAATTTTAAAAAAAGATGAATAAGATATGAGTAGTTTGCATAATCAAGGTTGGAATATACCTCTTGCATCTGGTATCTAAAAAAACATAGAAGCACACTAGAAGACTACAAAGATCTTATTTTATTTTAGGAAAATACAAAACAAAAACAATTCCTAAAAATGTATGTGCAAAAGCAAATTTATTCCAAGATCTAAAATGGTGAGAATATCTACTTAGCATATGGCATAAGGAACAATAAATAACATACTCAATGTATATCTTAAATTTAATTTTGTAAATACTTATACAAAATTTATCAAATATGTCTTCTACTATTTGCTAAAATTTATTAAATATAATGTATTTCATTTAGGAGGTGGTGAGGTGAGTTCAGAAACTTTTTCAAATGACCTAGTAAGCTTATTAAACTTAGAGGTACCCCCATGGTTAGCTAGCCTTTGAGATGTACTTATTAGAATTTCATAATTTTTGAAACACAGGTAAAATTCTTCATTCCACAGTGAGGAAGTGGTAGCTCAAAAAGTGTGATGGAAACTTTATCATTAAAATGGTAACTTTAAATTAACCCATCGGGAAGTTAGCAAGTAGTGAAGCTGTATGAGGTTGTATAGGGAAACAAACCATGTGCCCACTCCCCCGTGTGCCCTAGAAACCCCCCTTGCAACAAATCTGACCACCTCCATGGTGATCTACATTAATGCAAAGTCTGAGTTTTCCTTGTGTTGTATAAGATCCATTTCTGCCTTTACACTAGAAACAAAGAGACCAGGCGGCTTAGAACTAAATATACATTCTCAGACACTAACTTCACTAACCCACATTCCTTAACACATATATCATATACATGTTCCTCATCTTTCTAGTCTTAGAAATCCTATTGCACAAAGCTTTTAACAAATAATACATCAATTTATATCACTTTTTTCTGAGTTATGGGATATGACAAAAACAAAATCCCTATAAGTGACTGACTTAAAAGTTTTCTTTATTCTTAAACACGATTCTATACTTAATATAAACAACTCGTTTTCTCTCAAGAACTTTTTTTTTTTTTTTTTTTTTTGTCTTTTGAGACAGGATTTCACTATGCAGTTCAGACTGGCCTTCAACTAACTTTGTAGTCCAAGTTGACCTCCAACCCACAGCAATCCTCCTGCCTCAGCCTCTCAAGAACTCTCTTAATTTTACAATAATAATAAATTTTAAAATTTGAACTTGGAAATATAATATTCTCAGATTGGAAAGTATCTTTCAGGCCATCTAGTTTCCCTAATTTTGGTTATAGCTGGGGTTCTTAAGACTTAAACTCAGA